CTCAGTGAGGGTAAGGGTGTGTTCAATGAACAAGTCATCTCCCTTGCGCTTGAAAACGGGGTGCTCCTTCTGCTGCAGAACGAATACAATGTCTCCAGTAACAGTGTCCGGCTGCACAGATAAGGGACAGATGGAACACGGGAAACAAATTAATGGCGTAACACAGACAAGCTTACCGCAAGCTGATTATGCTAACGAATAAATTATGGCGTGTAGAATCTACTGCTATGTTCTGAAATCTTACCGCTTCATCAGCCTCTCCAGCAAAAGTGATCTTCTGGTTGTGCTGCATGCCCTTCTCCACATGCACGTCCAGAAGCTTCTTCTCCTGAGCCACCTTCTGCCCTTTGCACTGCCCGCACTTGTCCTTCTCAGAGATAACCTCACCTGGAGGGTCACGAACCAGCAACAGTTTAGAAGAATTTCGCAAGCGGTTCAAGGCGAGCAACATGCGAGACCGTCAGGGATTCTTTGCATCATGACAATACCATCTTCGTCAAATCGAGAAGAACCGGCCAAAATGACCTGAACTAAATCGACCATCCCAAGTGTCCTACACAACAAGGACCATGTCGGTACAAGACTTCGAACTGACTAAGTCGGGCCTGCCATGGAGCGCGGAGCATACCTGATCCTCGGCACTCGGGACACACGTGCTGCATTTGTTGGATCATGCTGGGACCCAGCTGCCGGATGGAGATCTTCATGCCCGAACCCTGGCAGCTGGCGCACTGGCTCGACGCGCCGGACTTAGAGCCCTTGCTGTTGACACGGAGTAGCAGCGGAGAGGTGGGTTTAGGGTTACGAGACTGAGAGAGAACTTCAATATGGAATGCAAAACCAAGTAAACCGCGAGGCTGAATCAAGGACAGCAGCGTGAAGTTCTCCACAAAGCGCTTCAAATTCTTATGTCACTGCTGATCATAAACGTAATTCTGATTGCCTTTTATGGGCGAGCGTCGAGACTAATTTCTCCTGGTAAAATCCTACCGGCGTTATTTCCAGCATCCCAGCCACACAACAGCCAGCGCATGAGATCGCGTTCCGCCATAAAATTAACGGCGCGGACTCACCCTTTGCACTTGGGGCAGAGCACGTTGCGCGAGAGCGAGAGCTTCTTCGTGGTGCCATTATACACGTCCTCCAGAGTGACCTTAAGCGGATGCACCACGTCTTCTCCCCTCCGCTGCCTCCGGCTTCCCCGACCGGAACCTGCCATCGGGATTCGACACGACGAGAGAGAGCAAAAACGTCAGCGAAAGCCCCACGGATAATCGCCTTCTAGCGACATTAGTGAATGGCGAAAACGAAGACGAGAGAAGATGGAAAGAGAAAACACGAGAGCAGGAAGAACCACTTTGCGTCCGCGAGTCGAACAAACAGATTCATGACAAGGTATGTTGAGGCGATGCACAGAAACTACGCACCGAAACTGCCGCCGCCGAAGGGATGACCGCCAGAGCCGAAGAAGGAGGAGAAGATATCGAAGGGATCGTGCATTGGCCCTCCGGCTCCCTCCTTAAGCGCGTCCTCGCCATACTGGTCGTAGATCTCGCGCTTTTCGGGATCACTCAATACCTCGTACGCTTGAGCCAGTTCCTTGAACTGAAGGGGTGGAGAGCACACAACGCAGGAAGAACAGGATGAAACAAGATGCGGTTAGATATATTCGCGGTAATTATCACGTTTCTTTTAGGTGGCGAGGTAGTCACACTATACGCCATCAGTGGGAAGGACACGAAAACCCTAGCCATAGAGGACAAACGGGATTGCGTAAAAAACGGACGATGCCCAAATCCAGTGTTAATTGCTTCGGAAGTGTGTAAGACAACAAGGCAGACTGAACAAGGATTAGTGCATTCGCATGAAAGAAAGAAGCGACAAGTGTCTCGGCGACGAGTAAGAGTGGAACAAGGAGGGGGGAGAAGGGGGAAGATCGAATGACAAACGAAGGAAGAGAGAAAGTAGGGAGAGAGTGGAGAGGCAGGGAGGAGTCGAGAGAGGAGCGAGAAATGGGCGGAGGAGAGGGGGAGGACAAGAATTTAATTAAAAACAAAACGAGAGAACGCGAGATCTCTGAAGGGGAGAAAGAGAGAACGGCGGGCAAACAGTTAGCAGGTAGACTCACCTTCTCTGGATCACCGCCTTTGTCGGGGTGATTCTTAATCGCAGCCTTGCGATACGCCTTTTTCAACTCATCGGCCGAAGCGCCTTGAGGTACGCCGAGGACCTCATAGTACCGCGTGTTGTTGCTCTTCTTCGACGGTTGTCGACCAAACATCTTCCCGCCTCTTTCTAGTCAACACTATTAAGAGCACAAGCGCGAGCTGAACAGAACCAGACAACGGAGAAAACAGATCCTCGGCGTCCCCCGAAAAAAAAGCAACCAACGGCAAGCTAGAGACGCGGCCTAGTAGCAGCAGAAGAGCCTGTGACTAGGCTGAGACTCTAGATCCGCGAGAGTTAGATCTGGAAAGAGGAAGCAAAAGTGGTGTCGCTCGTGTGGTTGTCTGAACGAGATTGACAGACTGCTGACGGAACAAATGCAAAAAAGTTTTCCTTTACGTTAGCGTCTGAGCCTTGTGACACCAGTGCGATCGCTGAGTGGAAGCAGCGCGAATGTTTCTGGCGACCAACCGAAGCTGTCTCTAGAAGCCAATCAGAGGCTCCACCAGTGTGCGGGATGCCCCGGTCCGAACCGCCACTAGCAAGTCTACTGCCCTATTTTGAGGTTGGGATGAGACTCTGGGCAGGTTTGAAAGTATTTGATGTGAGAGGGATGAATTTCTTCTGGGGAGGCTCCTGTGAAACATTCGGGGTTTTAGGCGGGAAAGTTTTAGATGGGACAACCAGTGGACGACCAAACCCCATGAGGTCCGAGAAGTCTGCGGTGTTGCGGGAAGCTGAGAGAACCTTCTGGAGCGAACCCCCACCAAGCCGACGAATCTCTCCCTGCCCGATCACAGAAGTCGAGATTCTCAAGAGGAGGAAGCCTTGCGTCGCCGGCTTCCAAAACCAAAATTGGTCGTCACTGCGGCGAAAAAGCCGAGGCTGTTCCACTCTGTGCGATCACGAATGTTCTCGTGAGAATGTGAGAAGTTAGAGGGTTGAGAATGTGCCACGTGGAAGAGTCGACGCAGAGATTTAGGACAATGTCGAGGATGAACTTTCCAGAAACGTCAGCATTGGTATGCATCGTCGACGGTGTGTTTGGTGGGACCAGGCGTTCCTGGGTGATAAACAGTTCACACATAGAGTATTGCCATTACAATTGGTATATAAAAAAGCCCCCAAGCATTGAGCAATCAGGACAATGAATTGTATGAATACACACATAATTCGCATGAGATAATGAAAGGTGATTAAATTGGAAGAGTTACTTTCAGAGGCATTTTGTTTTTAAGATCCCGTAGATTACATTGACATTCTCTAATACCGCATCACTCCATTTGGACACTGGACATGAGAAGAAGCGTTGTAGTTGTCAAACCCTCAGCACTGGGGGGACTCATGGTTCCTGGGCTAGGCATTCTACCAGCCGTTCGCTCCACGTGTGTCGGCGCCACACCCTCCAGTGTTATGTTTTCCACAGAAAAACAGACCGTTTCCCATGGCGTGTGGAAATAGATCGGCACAAAAAAAAATCTGCTCACTCCCTCACTAGCCTCCATCACTTGAAACTTACTTTTTTCCGCTCTAACTCCTGCCCAGCAAACTTTAGGGACAGTGGAGCCACACATCGCAGGTTCCCAACCAGCCCGCACCAAAACCAGGACTACCCTGTTGTCACTCTTCAATCTTCCCTCCCTCTCTTTCCCCCCTCGTTATTCCCTTGCCTGTCGCACCTTCAGCACGACTGTGCTGTTGAGGACGCTTGTTCCCCAGCGATCCTCCAGCCGTTTCGGGAGGTTTTGAGCTTACTATTCTGGATGATCTAGGTTTTCCTAGATCTGCTGGTCTTATTTCGTCCGTCGCTGTTCGTGCAGCAGGGCTAGCACGTCACGATAGGATAAAATAGGATATCAAAACCGCGACGTGTTCTCGGATCAGGCAATTCTTGGGAGGCTACAACGTCGCCTGTTTGGGACTGATTGATTCGGCTCGATCGCATTGCGTGACTGAAGCGCGGCGTTTGTGACCTCTCTAATCCAGTCAGGTATGCAATCGGGCTTTTCGATCCTAGAAGGAATTTATGCTTATTTTCTGCTGGTTTCAGTGCTTTCTCTCGATGTGAACGAAGATATTGGGGCCGCTTGAGTTCGGCATTCCCCATTCGTTTTTTTTTTATATATATAGTCTGGTAAAAAGGACCACCTTAACCGTTTCGGGGCTCTGGCGTTGATGGTTCTTTGATCAATTGTCACTTGATTGCCTTGTCAATCGAGCAAACTTGCTGAAGAAATAGATTATTGTTGATGAAGGACACTATTTCTTTCCCTCACAACCACTCCGCCCCGCGCCATCCAATTCTGTTTGATTGGACACGCCTCATGTACCCTGTCTTTAGATCCGACTATAGGGATCACAAACTTCTGTTGTACCTCGTCGTCGGCTTTTGGGTAGCATCGACTGTTATACCTCCCCGACCCATCATCTACTGGTCAACTCTTTTTGTCCTACCGAACGGCTTAATCACCAGTATCTCAAGACTGTGTAGCACAGACTTACCCGGCGCATAAGCGGCTCAGCATAACCGTTCCTTTAAGCTTTCCGATCCGCCGTTCCTCTAGCAAACGACAAAGAATTGATCTCACCCTTTTTGTCCATCTCTTGTCTCGCCTCTTTCCGTGCCCCCCCCTGCATTCAAGCCTCGCACGCACAACAGGAACAGAGCCCGTTGTTCTCCCGCTTGTCCCCCTGCAGATCGCCGGCATGGGAGCGGACTCCACCCTCGCCACGCCCTCCGGGACTGCTTCTAAAGAGCCTCAGAACCAATATTATTTATAATTCCCAACTGTCCCCCCCTTTTACCCTGTCCCTCGCGGCTGACCCCCTTGCAGGTCGTCGACATGGGAGCGGACCCCAGCCCGCGCTACGCCCCTCCGGATCCCACGTTGCCCGCCCCTTGGCGGGGCCTGGTTGACGGCTCTACAGGTTACCTCTACTACTGGAACCCCGACACCAACCAGACACAGTATGAGCGCCCGGGCGGGCCGGCTCCTGCCGGCGGAGGCGGGGGAGCAGCGGCGGTGAACGGCGCGAGCGCGAAGAGCGCGCAGCAGAATGGAGGACATGCGGTGGCTGGCGATGGGGGAGCGCAGAAGACGGCGGCGGCGGCGGCGGCAGCAGCTGCGGCAGCGGTTGGTGGTGGCGGCGGCGGTGGTGTTCAGGTGAGTTGTTTCGCGCTTTCAGTGTGGTCAGGATTTCAGAGTTGCTTTCTTTCACTCGCCTTCTCTGCCGTCTTCTTGGTCCGTTCCGTCCTATCCGCCTCCCCTCTGTTGTATCACGTTTTCCCATCGGTTCTCCCCTCCTGCTGTATCCTTCTCTCCTCTCCCGCTCGTGTCTCGCCCATGGCAGCACGTCAACGGCGCGGCAGCGTCTTCCGATGATGTTGTGGCGTACAAGCGAAAACACGAGATTACCGTCGTGGTAAGAACGCGCTTTTTGTTTGGCCTTTCCTCTCACTGCTAGCGTGCTTGCCTGCTTGCTCGCTCACGCACGCGCCTCTTTCCTCCGTTTCACTCCTCAGTCCCGCTTTTCCCGCCTCATGTCCCTCGTCGCGTCTTCTTTCTTAGACAACCGATTTCGTGCGTTGTCCCTCTCTCGTTCTCTCCTTTTTCGGCCTACCTCATAGTTGGATGCACTTGTCACCGATTCTCTCCATCTATGCGTCGACTGTTGTTTGGTCTATGTCACATGGGTCAGGTCTTGTGTCGAAGCCTCTTGATGGTTTTCTCGCGCTGTTCTTGAACTTTGGTTTGTGTGTGCGACGTGTGTCGCGTGTGCGCGGCGTGTGCGGTTCTGGTCTTGCATGCGTGGCGAGTGTGCGGTGTTGCGTGTCCGCATGCTGCTATCTGCTTCGCGCGTCGCAACCATGGCCATCCGTATGCGCGTATGCGTCCACGCGCCTGCGTGTGTGAATGTGCGCGTTCTCGTTTTCGCGTGCGTGCGTGTGCGTGTGTGCGTGTGTGCGTGTGCGTGCGTGCAGGGATCGAACATACCACCGTTTCTAACCTTCGAGGCTGCCAATTTCCCTTCTGACATCTACCGCGAGGTACCTTGCCTCCCTCCCTCGTGCTCTTCCCCTCCCGCCTTCCTTCTTCCCCTCTCGCCCACCCTGCTCCCTCCCACCTCCGTTGCCCCCTCCCATGCCCTTTTGCCGTTTTGGTGGAATGTAGTTTACTTTTTAAAAATTCTTGCTTCTGACCTTGGTCTCTGCCAAGCTTTCAAGCCCTCGTTTGCACTTCAATCCCCCTCACTCTTCCAACCTCTTACCGCCTTCTCCCTTCTTCCCCCCTTCCCCGCACACTCCACTGTTCTCTCATCCAATTCTCTTTTTCATCCCTCCACCAATCCCCCTCCCCCTCTCCCCCCCTTCCCCCCTCCCCCTCCCTCCTCCCAATTCCCCATCCCCCTCCCCGCCCTATCCCCGTACCCCAACCCCCTCCCTTCCCACTCCTCCTTCCCCCGTGCTTCCGCTTCCCCCAATTCACCAGCTCAAGGCGGCGGGGTTCCCCACGCCCACGCCGATCCAAGCGCAGTCATGGCCCATAGCGCTCTCAGGCTCGGACGTGGTTGCCGTGGCTAAGACAGGCTCGGGAAAGACGATCGGGTACCTGCTGCCCGGGTTCGTGCACCTGCAGCAGCGGCGCAACAACAGCCGCCAGGGACCGACGGTGCTGGTGCTGGCGCCCACGCGCGAGCTGGCCACGCAGATCCACGCGGAGGCGGTTAAGTTCGGTCGGTCGTCGCGCATCAGCAGCACGGTGAGAGAGAGAGAGACAGCGGGAGATAGCGGGAAAGAACGGGAGCGAGCGGGTTAGAGAGCGGAGAGAGCGGGAGAGAACGGGAGATTGCGGGAGGCAACGGGTGAGGGCGAGAGAGAGAGGGAGAGGGCGGGAGAGAGTGGGAGGTGGTTGTGAAGACTTAGAACTTGCAAGGAGGGGGGTCGGGTAGGGGTGGGGGCGGGTTCAGATTGGTTCGGCAGAATGTGTGGGCGAGAGGAAAGTGAAGGGGAGTTGGGTTTAGAATGGGGGTTGGGGGGAGGGGCAATGAAGGATGGTGAGTTTGGTTGTCACGGGTTTGAGGGTTTATCAGTGAGATGAGGGAGATGAGGGAGATGAGGGTGTTAGAATATAGCATAATGTATGTTTATATTTGTGCATGTGTTACACCCTAAAGTGGGTGTACACTTTGGGTCAAGGCGACCCAACCAATTTTGGTTGGGCGCCCCCAAACCCAACTCGACCGCAATTGACGGGGGGGGGCCAATAATGGTCCCCTCCAACGATTGTTGGTTACCCCAGCAATTGTTGGTCGACCCAATCTGATTGGTCCACCAATAAATGCTGAGGGTACCCCACTTCGTTCCCAAAACTTCTCATCTCCTATATGTACCGACACTCTTTCTAATCAAGACAACACTTGAGATTCTTTCATGGTATTCAGAGCCAATTGGCAAACGCCCCTCTCGACTACTTTCTCTCAAGTTTTTTTCCTCCCCGCTCGTCAGGACCCTTCCGTCCTGCCCATGCAACTTGTTGCGTGGGTTTGACTTGGTTGAAGTTCAATCTTCCGTAAAGTACAACCAGTCACCACCTCCCTCCAGCTCCTACTCTATCTCTCGTAAGGCGAATTTCTCGCCTTAGCTCCTGCCGCCGCATTTACGTTCTCAGCTGCCGGCGTCTCAATCGCCGCGACCTATCCGCCGTCGCCACTACTCTCGCACCGCTTTTCTTCCTTGCGGGGCATTTCGCCGCCGCCGCTGCTGCTTCACTCGCCGCGGGGCATTTCGCCGCCGCCGCCACTGTTCCCACTCGCCGCGGGGCATTTCGCCGCCGCCGCCACTGCTCCCACTCGCCGCGGGGCATTTCGCCGCCGCCGCCACTGCTCCCACTCGCCGCGGGGCATTTCGCCTCCGCCGCCACTACTCCACTCGCCGCGGGGCATTTCGCCGCCGCCGCCACTGCTCCCACTCGCCGCGGGGCATTTCGCCGCCGCCGCCTCTGCTCCCACTCGCCGCGGGGCATTTCGCCGCCGCCGCCACTGCTCCCACTCGCCGCGGGGCATTTCGCCTCCGCCGCCACTGCTCCCACTCGCCGCGGGGCATTTCGCCTCCGCCGCCACTACTCCACTCGCCGCGGGGCATTTCGCCGCCGCCGCCACTGCTCCCACTCGCCGCGGGGCATTTCGCCGCCGCCGCCACTGGTCCCACTCGTCGCGGGGCATTTCGCCTCCGCCGCCTCTACTCACTCGCTGCGGGCAATTTGCCGCCGCCACTGCCTCTCCTCGCTGCAAGACACTTCGCCGCGGCTGCTCCTACTCTCCCTCGCCGCCAGGCACTTAGCTATTGCCTCATCTCTTCCTCCCCGCCGCTCCCTCGACCCTTCCCCCCCCCCCCCCATTGCTTCCGCCCACCGTTTCCTCTCCCGCTGCCTCTCTCATACTATCTCTGCTCTCCGCCTCTCCTGCCACGCTACTGCTCCCAATCCTCTCCCACGTGCTGCTACTAACCCCCCTCCTCCTCTCCCTCAGCTTCTAACCTGCCTCGCTTTCGCTCGCTACTAACATTTTTTCTCCCCTCACATCGCACTAACTTACTGCTATGGCTGCTCCTTCTCTTCCTCAGAATTTCAACACTCTCTCCATTGATCGGCTCGAGCTCGCTCCCGATCAGAGCGCTATCAACTGGTACTCCTACACAGGGAGCATGCGCCGCCTCCTCGGCGTCATCCACATCCCCAACACCTCCTCCACCCTCCTCGACCTTGTCCTCCGCCATGCTGCCGCTCTCCCGCCAACGCCCCCTATGTCCCCTGGATCGGCCCCCACTCTCCTGCCTGACCCTGGACCTGAACCTGACGAACCAGATCTGCCCGCTGCCTCCACGGATCCTGTTCGCCAATCCGCTGATGAAGCAACCTACGATCTCGAGCGGCGTCGGTTCCTCCCGCTCCGAGCGGACCATCGTGCGGCTCGCGAGCAATACGACATGCGCCAAGCTGCCATAATAAATCACCGCACCATGGCTGACAGCTACACTCTCGCGCTCGCTGAATATACCGCTAAAGCTGCTGCTTGGAAGGAATTTGACCTTTCCGCCTCTAATATTATCCTTGGTGGTCTCCCCCCCGCTCTAATGCGAGACTTTCAGGAACAAGAGCTTCACGCACCTGCCCTTTGGGCCTCCCTTCACGCCATGTTTGAGCGCCATGACGTCAACTCCGTGGGGCTGCTCCTTGACGAATACTGGGAGACAACGCTCGCAACCTGCACTGGTGCCGTCGCCTACACCGGCCGCATGACCTCTCTCGCCAAGCGACTTAAGGCTCGCCAGTCCGAACTCCCCCAGTTCATCCAGATAGATCGCCTTCTCCGCGGTCTCAACCCGTCCTACGACATGCACGTCATTGCCTTCCGCGAAAATCAGTCGTTTGCGGATGTTGCTGCTGTCGTTCAATGGATCATTGACACCGAAACCCGCCTCCTTCGTACCAACCCGCCTTCTCTCAACACGGCTCAGGCACCCGCGCCAGAACTCAACGCCACCCAGACACGCGGTGGTGGGCGTGGTGGTGGTCGCGGTGGCGGACGTGGAGGTGGGCGTGGTGGCGGCCGTGGTGGTGGACGTGGTGGCACCTTTGGTGGACGCACTCCTTCTTGCACGGGCGGCCCTGGAGGAAGTGGACGTGGTGGTAGCGGACCTGGTCAACTCCCCCCCTGCCCCTACGTTCGCCCTCACGGCCCTCGCGCTGGGGAACCCTGCGGTCAAACCAACCACCCCATAACCACCTGCTTCGGCGTCTTGGACGATGCCTGGTTTGATCGTGGTAACCATGGTACCCCCCCCCGCTGGTCCGCTCTTGCAAGTCGTCCCACTGTCCATGATGTTCAACATCTCCCTCTCTATCAACCCTCCCACCTTAACCTCACCACTCCCTCTCCTCAACTGCAACTCCAGCAGTTTTTGCAGCATCTTCAGTCACAGCAGTTGCAGCAGCCCCCGCAGCTGCCCCCACAGCCGCAGCCGCACCAGCAGCCACAGCAGCCGCCCTGGGGAGGTGGGGGAGGCGCAGCCGCCACAGCAGCGGCAGCGGCAGCAGCAGCAGCAGCAGCAGCAGCAACTGCCGCCTGGCAGCAGCAACCACTTGGCTTCGGTTCTGCCGCCACCGCCGCCCATACCTCCCCAGCTGAGTCATACTCTAGCTTTCTTGGTCAGCTAGCTTCTCCCTTGCCTAGCACCACCTCCATGTATCCCTCTGTTCTTAATAACAGTGACTTTCAGTATTCTGCGTCTCCTTCCCCGCTCACCTTGGACTTTGTCCTCGATAGCGGGGCCACCGTCAGTGCCCTGAAGGACGCTGGCATTCTCAAAACACTATCTCCCTCCACTGTTCATGGCGTTGATTCTAGCTTCTCGATCCCATGCACACACTCCTCTACTCTTCCGTGTCCCCTCTTTCCCTCCGGCACTATCACTGGCCTCCACATTCCCACTCTTCGTCACAACCTTATTTCTCTTCATGATCTCCAAAAAGCCGGCATTACCGCCATTTTTCCTGCCCACTTTTCCTATTGCGATCTCATTCATACCTCCACTGGCCGCCTTGTCTACCGCCTCCCAATCTGCCCCCGCACTCACCTTTACACACTACGTCTCCCTTTTCCGGCATCATGTCATCTCACCACCCGTCGCTCCACCTACCCTTCTCCCACCATTGCTCCTCCTTCTTCATCATCTCCCACTCCCTCTACCTCTCCCGACCTCTCCCTCTCTCACCCCGCCATTCTCCTCCATCACCGTCTTGGTCACCCCAACTTCACCACCCTCCGTGCCGCAATATCCTCTCGCCTCCTTCATGGGCTCCCCCCTGCCCTTCCTCCCCTACCCACCTCACCAGCTCCTCCTTGTCCCACTTGCATTCATGGCAAACTCAAACAAAAACCCCATCACAGCCATCCCTCATTTGCTACTGCTCCCCTAGATCTCGTCCACATGGACCTCTGGGGTCCCTCCCCCTCCCCTTCCCGCCAGGGCCACCGCTTTATGCTCGTCCTCGTAGACGACCATAGCCGCTACTCCTCTGTGTTTCTACTCCACACGAAAGCTGAAGCAGCCGCTGTCATCATCGCCTGGGCCGAACAAGCGCGCGTGCACTTCGGCCGACCCATCCGTCGCCTTCACTCTGACGGTGGCGGGGAGTTTTTCAACCATACCATTGCCTCCTACTGCAAAGCACATGGCACTCAACAGACGTCCACTCTCCCTCATTCTCCGCAACAAAACGGTGTAGCTGATAGTCGCATCCGTGAGATCACCAAAACTGCCCGCTGTCTCCTCACCCATGCATCTACCCCTCCCTCCCTTTGGGGCTATGCTCTCACTCATGCCGCCCTTCTCACCATCCTCTACCCTCACCCCCACCATCCCAACCTCACTCCCACTGAGCTTTGGTGCAACTCCAAACCTGATGCCTCCGTCCTTCGCGTCTGGGGCTGCAAATCTTTTGTTCTCATTCCTCCCGCAGACCGTTCCCGCAAAGCAGGAAAACTTGCCTCCAAAGCATTGGAGTGCGTCTACCTCGGCCACAATCGTGGCTCTCCTGGGTACCTCTTCCTTCATCCTCCCTCCGAACGCCTCATTCGCAGCCGCGATGTCGTCTTCGATGAAACCATCCCCTACTACTCCTCTCCTCCTCCCTCCGACCCTCTCCCCCCACCCTCCCGCCCACTCACCTGGGCGGATGCCCTTCTTCCTCCTCTCCTCCCATCTGCTCCACTCCTCCCAACTACTCCACTCTCACCTCCACCTTCCTCGGCTGATATCTATGATCCTGCTGCCTCACCTGCCCTTTCCACCGCTCCCCCTCCTCCCTCTCCCCCTCCTCCCTCCCCTCCCACCCACCTCCCTCCAGCTTCTCCTCCTCCATCCTCGCCCGCCGCACCTCCTGCATCCTCCCCACGTCCTCACACTTCTCTCACCTCACGCTCTCCCTTCCTCCTCCCACGCATGCACACTCGCTCCCTTGACCCCATTCTTGGTCAACCACCTCTCATTCATGAAGACTCCCATGAGGAGTTTTGTGCCATTCACACTCACGTTCCTTCCCTTAACCCTGTGTACCTTGCCCTTTTGGGCGCGGTTGTACTTGGCACTCCCTCCTCACCTCTCATCTTCACGCCTACCACATTCCAGGAGGCAATCACGTGCCCTGACGCTGACAAATGGCTGGAGGCCATTCGCAAGGAGTGCGACGCCTTCATTCGCAATGATTCCTTCGTCGATGTCAAGCCGCCTCCAGATGCCAACATTGTTGTGGCAAGTGGGTCTTCCGGGTGAAGCAGCTTCCGGGGGAGGAGCCCGTCTACAAAGCCCGTTACTGCGCCAAGGGCTTCACACAGACCTATGCCAAGGACTTTTGGGAAACCTTCTCACCTACCGCAAAATTCGGGACCCTTCGCACGCTTCTCGATTTTGGCTCCCGCAATGGCATGGAGATCTCATCAATGGATGTCTCTAACGCTTTTCTTCAGGGGAACCTCCACGAACAAATCTTCCTCGACCGCCCAGATGGCTTCCATGAAGCCTTCCCACCAGACACTGTCTGGGAACTACGCCGTCCAGTCTACGGCCTGAAGCAGGCTCCTCGGGAATGGCATGCTAAGCTGGCATCTACACTCTGTGCTCTCGGATTTCAACCATCTCACTCTGACGCCAGTCTCTTCATTCGGACCCGTCCCAGCCGCTTCTTCGTCCTAGTCTATGTTGACGACATGGTGCTCCTCGCCGACACCTCCGCCGACATGACCGACGTTAAGGAAGAACTACAAGCTCGTCTCCAGTGCAAGGACCTTGGCGAATTACGCCACTACTTGGGCATGGAGATCACACGCGATCGAGCTGCCCGCACCATCACCTTATCTCAATCTCACTATCTTCAGCAGGTGTTGGAGCGGTTCGACATGGCTCTCGCCAACCCAGTGGCCACTCCCCTTCCATTCGGCCATGGGCTTGCTCCACCCACCTCCCCCTCCGCCTCCACTCAGCCCTATGCGGAACTGGTTGGCTCCATCATGTATGCCATGATGGGGACCCGTCCCGACCTCGCCTACCCCATCAGCGTCCTGGCGCGTTTCGTCGGTACCGGTCGTCACACCTCCGTGCATTGGAGAGCCGCCAAACGAGTCCTACGCTACCTCCGTGGCACTCAGGACCATGTTCTCACCCTTGGTGGTGCCTCTCCCCCGCTCCTCACCGGCTTCAGTGACTCGTCTTGGGCAGACTCTCAGCCGGATCGCCGCTCTTCCCAAGGATATGGCTTCACGCTCGGTAGCGGCTTGGTCAGCTGGCGCTCCACCCGCTCCTCCGCCATCGCCCTCTCATCTTGTGAAGCCGAACTCTATGCTGGTACCATGGCTGCGCAGGAAGGACGCTGGCTTTCCTTCTTGCTAGCCGAGCTTGGGGCCCCCCAGCCATGCCCCACGCTCTGGTGCGACAACGCCAGCACGATCCACCTCACCAAGAATCCGGTCTTCCACGGGCGCTCCAAACACATCGAACTACGCTACTTCTACATTCGCGATCTTGTCCAGCAAGGCCATCTTGCCGTCCGAAAAATTGCCGCCGAAGCCAACCTCGCTGACATCTTCACCAAAGCTCTTCCGAAGCTAGCCCACCGGGCCTTCCTTCGCCTTCTTGGCCTCTCCCCGGCTTCATGATTCCGGGGTTGTGCACACTTATAAACCTCTAATGCTACGGGGTAGTGTTAGAATATAGCATAATGTATGTTTATATTTGTGCATGTGTTACACCCTAAAGTGGGTGTACACTTTGGGTCAAGGCGACCCAACCAATTTTGGTTGGGCGCCCCCAAACCCAACTCGACCGCAATTGACGGGGGGGGGCCAATAATGGTCCCCTCCAACGATTGTTGGTTACCCCAGCAATTGTTGGTCGACCCAATCTGATTGGTCCACCAATAAATGCTGAGGGTACCCCACTTCGTTCCCAAAACTTCTCATCTCCTATATGTACCGACACTCTTTCTAATCAAGACAACACTTGAGATTCTTTCAGAGGGCGACGTTGATGAACACATGCAACTCCGAGAGTGTTAATTGTGAATTTTCGAAGAGACGAGGCTGTAGCTTGTGGACGCAGTGGTGAGAGTGATTGATAAGGGACCCGAGGAGGTCAGAAGTTGAACAAGAGTATCTTGCTCTGAACCGGCTTAGAACTGGCATAGAAAGAAGCTGTTTTTTTTTGGGTCAAAATCTGACTAAGATGGTCTTTTTCTGCTACCAGTTTCTGTGGAAAGTTGTGCTTTGTTCAAGGATCTAAAAAATTTAGAAACCCCACTTTCCCCCTGCCTTCTGTGTAGCCAAGCCAAATATACGTTGTTGTGGAGAGTGAGTTTGTGCCTGGTCAATTAAAAGAGCGATTTTTTCTCATTTACCGAGTGAGCACACTCATATCAACGATAAACTTGAAAAGAACAAGGTAGGAAAGACCAGTTAAGTGGGGTTTCATCTTGGAAACGCCATCAAATCGGGTTGCACAGGTTCAGGGTTCCCTGAAACCTTGTTTCCTCTACTTCCACCCTTGCCTTCCCCCCCCCCTCCCTCTCCCCCCCTCGCCCTTCCCTCCCCCCCTTCCTTCCCCGCTCCTTCTTCCCCCAGTGCGTGTACGGCGGCGCGCCCAATTACCCGCAGTTGAGGGAGCTGCAGTACGGGGCGGATATTGTGATCGCCACGCCCTTACCCACTCCTCTCTTCCTCTCCACCCCCTGCCCCTTGCCTCCCCCCTTCCCCCCTTCCCTCTTGCCCTCTTCCCCCCTTCCCCCAGTGCGTGTTCGGTGGCGGGCCCATGATCCGCCAGCTGCGCGAGCTGCAGTACGGGGCGGACATTGTCATCGCCACACCCTTTCCCACTCCTCTCTTCCTCTCCACCCCCTGCCTGCCCCTTGCCTCCCCCGCTCCCCCATTCCCCCTTGCCCTCTTCCCCCCTTCCCCCAGTGCGTGTACGGTGGCGCGCCCATGAACCCCCAGCTGCGCGAGCTGCAGTACGGGGCGGACATTGTCATCGCCACACCCTTTCCCACTCCTCTCTTCCTCTCCACCCCCTGCCTGCCCCTTGCCTCCCCCGCTCCCCCATTCCCCCTTGCCCTCTTCCCCCCTTCCCCCAGTGCGTGTACGGTGGCGCGCCCAAGAACCCGCAGCTGCGCGAGCTGCAGTACGGAGCGGACATTGTCATCGCCACGCCAGGCCGCCTCAATGACTTCCTCGAGGCCAACCAGATCAGCCTGCGCCAGGTGCGTGCTGGTGGGCGTGGGTGGTTGGGGGGGTGGTTGGGTGTGGGGTTGCAAGTGAGAATGTGGGTGTGAGTGGGGGTGGGTGTGGGTGTGGGTGTGGGGGTGGGTGTGGGGGTGGGTGTGGGGGTGGGTGTGGGTGTGGGTGTGAGTGTGGGTGAGAGGGTGTGTGGGTGGGTGCATGTGCGTACCTTTGTTTGTGGGGAACGGGGGGGATCGTTCTGTCCGAGTCACACACGACTGGTAGTGCTTGCATCCCTGAACAAATCAGTTTTCAAGACAGCTGCTTATGACACGGCAAGTATGCCTTCTTCCCTCCCCGTCTCTCTTCATCCCATCCTTCCCTCCCTCCCTCCGCCTCTTATTCCTTGTCATGCTGGTCATGGGGTTCATGCTGTTTCACTCCCTTGACTCCTCTCCCCTCATCCCCTCTCCCCCGCCCCCTCCCGCCACCCACTTCCTGTTCTCACCCCTCCCCCCCGCAGGTGTCCTACCTGGTGTTGGACGAAGCAGATCGGATCGCATGCTGGACATGGGGTTTGGCACAAACAGAGAGGAACAGCACCTTCAACCCCTCTCTGCTCTCTCCCCCTCTCCCTCGTTTGCTCTCTCCCCTGCAGGTGTCCTACCTGGTGTTGGACGAGGCGGATCGCATGCTGGACATGGGATTCGAGCCGCAGATCCGCAAGATAGTGGCGCGCGTGCCCGGGCGGCACCAGACGCTCATGTACACGGCCACGTGGCCGCGCGAGGTGCGGCGCATCGCAGAGGACCTGCTCTCCTCGCCCGTGCACGTCACCATCGGCAGCACCGACCAGCTCGTTGCTAACAAGTCCATCACCCAGGTGCGTGACTGATTCTTTGGAGGGGCCGGGGCTGGGCCTGGGGCTGTGGATGGGGGATGGGGGTAAGACAGAGGGGGGGTAGGGCTTGGGGATAGGCATAAGATAGAGGGTGGGAGGCAGGCAGGGGCAGTGCTGGGTGGCGTGTGGTTTGGAATAAAGTTTAGCAGAGGACCTGCTCACCTCGCCTGTGCACGTCACCATTGGCAGCACCGACCAGCTCGTTGCCAACAAATCCATTACTCAGGTACGGTTTCCTTGTAGGATTTCTAGGGGAAAGGTCTGGGAAGAAAAGAGGTGGGAAGAGCGGGGATGGGGTATGGCCTACAGGACCCTTCAACTCAGGACAGGACCATTCTGGTCTAACATCTGGGTATGCCGTTTTGGTCCTATCTTGTCCCCGTGTGGTCGCCCTTTATACAATGAGAAAGGGCGATATGTTTGTTGCATGATGGACCAGGGTTCAGGGTTTTATGGTCAATGGCAGCTGTAGTAGCAGCAGCAATGGGAGAATGGGTCATTTTCAGTTGAGGATAGAAGAACCCCTGTCTTTAAACCACTATGTATTCTTTCCCTTCCCTAACCGTTCTCTAGGTTGTTAAGTGCGATAAAGTGCTGTGATCAATCCCCTTGTGATATACACGATACCAAGTCATAACCCCACTTTCGCGACTCCACGCTCGCAAAAGAACAAACCCCCCTCTCCCTCCCACATTCCCTTGCGTTGCATCCCTCGCCACCCATATTTCGTGTCCCCGTGCCCCCTCCGCTTCCCAATCTTCCCCCATCCCCGTGTTTTCACCCCTCACCCAACCCATCCACCCCGGACCTCCCCCCTGCAGATCATTGAGCTGCCAGCGCCGTACGAGAAGCAGCGTCGGCTGGAGCAGATCCTGCGCTCGCTCCCCCGCGGCTCCAAGGCCATAGTCTTCTGCTCCACCAAGCGCATGTGTGACCAGCTCTCACGCTCCCTCGACCGCAGCTTCGGCGCCGCAGCCATTCACGGGGACAAGTCCCAGCCCGAGCGCGACCACACTCTGGCCCAGTTCCGCTCCGGCGCCATGCCCACCCTGGTTGCTACTGACGTTGCCGCGCGCGGGCTCGACGTGAAGGACATTCGGTGCGTGATCAACTATGACTTCCCCACGGGTGTGGAGGATTATGTTCACCGGATCGGGCGGACGGGGCGGGCCGGGGCGACGGGGACGGCGTACACGTTTTTCGGGCCGCAGGACGGGAAGTATGCGAGGGAGTTGATCAAGGTGTTGGAAGGGGCGCAGCAGGTGGTTCCTCCGGAGCTGCAGCAGATGGCTGCTAGTGCCGGGCCGGGCCGAGGGATGTCCAGATGGGGCGGTGGAGGAGGAGGAGGGAGGTCTGGGGGAGGGTATGGTGGCGGTGGTGGGTATGGCGGTGGTGGTGGTGGGTATGGTGGTGGTGGGGGTGGGTACGGAGGAGGGGGGGGTGTTGGGGTTGGCGGTGGGGGTTTGTCGGATGAGGCTGCGTCTGCTGCGATTGCATCTGCTGCCGCTGCTGCTGCCACCATTGCCGCTAGTGCTGGTGCTGGCCGTGCCGACGGCGGCCGATGGGGAGGAGTTGGAGGTGGAGGAAGGGGGGGAGGGAGCGACGATTACGGCCGTGGAGGGGGGAGGACTGTGGGAGGGTATGGCAGCAGCGGCAGGGATCAGGACAGGGATGGGTACCGAGGCCGATCACCCCCGGGCAGGGACCGTGGGGGCAGCGGCCGGCATGACGACAGGGACAGGGATCGCGACCGCGATGCCGATCGCTACCAAAGCAGGAGAACCCGCAGCCGCAGCCGCAGTCCCAGCCGTAGCCGCGGCCGCAGCAGGAGCAGGAGCCGCAGCAGGAGCCCCCGGAGAAAAAGCAGGGAGACAGCCCGCCGCGGCTCTCGCAGCCGCAGCCGATCCCGCTCCCCCCGCCGCCGCACCAGAAGCAAGTCCCGCACGCCGCCCAGCAGAAGCCGCCGCAGCAGCCGCAGCCCGCCGCCCGCCCGTAAGCGCCACAGCCGCAGCCGCAGCAAGAGCAGGAGCCCGGAGGCCCGGCGGCGCCGAACCTACAGCCGGAGCAAGTCCCCTGGTGGGAAGCATCGCAGCCCTGTGCGCAGTCCTGTGGGGAAGAAAGACTAGAAGTGGAACTGTGGAGGGAAAAAATGAGGGACGAGTTTTGCAAGAGATCTAGGCCGGAGGAGAACCTGCAGCTGGAAGTACGGTTCATGTTAGAGTGTGGGTGTGGATGCGTGGGTATGGCACTGGGAGGGAGGATGGTGTGGAGGTAGGCTTCTTGGAGGGTTGGATGCTTTTTGAAGAGTTGCTAAGGAAAGTTTTGCCTAAAAAGCTACCAAGACAAATTTCTGGTTTTGCAACTTTCCTACGGATTTCCTTACCATATATCTCCAGGTTACGTTAAAGCTCGCGGCCCAAACTGTACAACTTTACTAAAGTTGCATGTTGGGAGGTGAGGGAGCAGGGTTGGCTAGTCGAGGTGTTAGGTGGGTTGAGGGCTTTGGTTTCGCCCAACTTCTCGCCAATCTCTAACACATTTCGCTGACTCAGTAGACCCCAGGGGCCACTTCGCGTTTGGTTGCATGAGTCCCATATTGCACAAATACTATCCTTGCCAGTTTCCCACCCAACCCCCTCCGCAAACACACTTTCAATTTTGCTAGCCAATCAGCTCAGTGTTTCAAATTGACTAGCCAATCAACTTCCTTCGTACAACCCGTAACCTCAATTCGCAAAACCAGCACCTGCAAAACAACTATCAATCAACCTTACTAAGGTTGCCCAGCGCGGCCCGCAATTTGGGCCGCGAGCTTTAACAAGCTGGTCTTTTGAACTGAATTTGCATGTACCCTGAGCTGGATCTTCCTATTTGTTGGGGAAAATAGGCTTACGGTATGCCCACATTTTTCATGTTGGCTCCATGCTTTGGATAAGAAATCGGATAATGAAATCAGTTAGACATTAGATATTTTGTTATTTTTCAACTCGTGTTCTGTTCGACTGCGCGTACCATTCACATTCCATACACCTCGGGTCATCTCGAAATGGACAAATCAGTCTTCTAGCGAGGGCGGGGTTTACAATGCGAGTGAAACAAAAGTGAATTTCGGCCAATCCGACGCGACAACGGAACTCGACGGCGAGAGAAGCCAACTCATCCATGCTATGCAGCGTCAGTAAAAGTGGAGTCTTTGCACGTGCATGGTGAATCTATTCACCTCGCTGCTGCATTCCGAACCTGCGCTTCTCTTTTGGGCGACCTTCTGCTGGCGAAGCTCCAACCAGACGTCACCTTCGGGCTCATCAAAGCTGGCGCTGATAGGTCAGAGTTTCTTCCGTTAGCGAGGGGGTTTGCTCCCACTTCCGCTATTGCGCACACGGCAGAAGGTGGGACAGGTGGTTTCGGGTGCGCGGAGCGGGTTGACCGCTACCTGAGCGGGCATGTGACATTGATGATGTGGTGAAACCACATGCCCGCCTTCTTCGTGAGTCATGACACGCGGGGACGGATGCTGAGTCGTACAGTCCACACACTTGATGAAGCACAGAGTGCAATATGCAAGCGGGCAAAATGAAAAGTAAACCAATCCAAATATTTTTCTTGTGGATTGTACACAGTCACGTGCACTGGTAGCCGACCACTGTATGTTTCCAAAGAATCGGAGATGAAGCATCAGCTACTACAAGGCCAACTATTAACGTGGTCCCCCCAGGTGTCGGTGGGGCAGGGTTAGTTGGAAACATAAAACTTCTTCGTTCCTCCCACTCGCCACTTCCCTTCCATGACCTCTTCATATCCCTCCTCCTCCAACACTTGCAGCAACAATCAGGCAGAAGAGCAACAATTTGACTTGCTGCAACTCTTTCCCTGACGCAACTCCAGGGACTCGCTGCTGCGTGCAGGCTTGTAACCCTGGTGTTTGTTAGTGAGCTCAGACATTCGTCTATCACTTTGCCAAGAAAGTGAACTGAGGCTAGAGTCCACCATACACCGGTTTCCGGGTTCTGCCTTCCCGCTTCTCGGTGTTTTTGCCAGGCCTCATGGCGGATCGTCCAGGCTTGTCGTAGCTGAATCTGTTGCACCTTGCAGTTCAATGTTTCGTGCCTCGGCATGTTCTTTGTGTTACAATCAATTTGGCATCCTGCCTAGGCAGCCAGAAATGGTACTTTCGCTACTTTCGAGTCTTCGTAACGGGAGTGAGGTGTCCGTCTAGGAGGCATGGATTGAACTGGGGGTGAACCGACACGTGGTGGCTTGCTGGTACTTATTCTTCTCCTTCTCTTTCTCCTCCTGCTTTCCCCTCACCCACCTCAATCCCTCCCCTCTTCCCCGTCCCCTCTTTATTATATGTCGTCACTGTTATGTGTATAATTGATATGTTAGTTCTCAGTGTGTTCCCCTCTCGGTTTGGCAATAGCTTTAGGATTAAATTTTAGGCCTAAGGTCCGCTATTCTTTATTTATTCATCCCGATGTCAGGCTGTCACGTGGCAGTATCACTCGTCGTGCGCCAAACACCTTACCGCGCTCGAACCCCGTACGCGTGCGTCTCGCGTCTCGACATGGCGAGCTCGTCGGGGCAACACAAGTTGCAGGCTCAATGGCTCGTTAGCGTTAGCTCGTGAGAGAGCGGCAGCGATGTGACATCGTTTTTTTTATTCCAGGCTTCACAAGAGTGCGCCTGATGATATGTACATTTATGAGAGGAGTTTTCTGATGTCCGACATTCTTTCGTCAAATCCCTAGTCTGCGCTTCGTCTGCGTCGATGATTGGGTTTATTTGAGTAAAGTTAGCGGTTCGACTACGGACACGATTATTGGAGCGTGCTACGTACGTCTTCTTCCAAGCAGGACTCAGCTGACTATCGATCATGCGACGCTCTACGTTCCATTCGTCTCCCGCATTCGGCGGCGGCGTTATGCTGGCAGCTGCCCACTCCCCGCACTCCTCTCCATCTCCGCCACCGCCTCCCCGCGCAAGCGGCTTCACCCTGTCGTCCTCCCCTGACCTCCCGCCGCCAGCCGCAGCGCCACAGCCGGTGCGTCGCTCTTCGCTGTCCCATGCCCTCGGGACCGCCGCGCCGCCTCCCGCGCCTTCCCCGCCCTCCGCCGAGTTCGCGCCTGCTGCTACCTCCGCCGTCGCCAGCGCCCCTACCGCCTCTTCGAAATTGTCGCGCAAGTCTGGTCGGTGGGACTTCTTTCGCTGGGCGGGCGAGGAGGAGGACGAGTTGAATGAAGCGGAGGAGGTTGATGGGGAGGGGGAGGAAGCTGAGGAGGAAGTGAAAAACGGAAGGCCGGGGGAGGAAGGGAAGGAGGAGTGTGAGGACTTCCTATGCGCGAGTCCCGCCGCCATTCGCGGCAGCGAGCTGCGATGGGGTCGCGAGAGCGAGCGCATGAGCGCCAGCTTCAGCGGTGCCGATCGCGGCGGCAGCAGGATGGCGGTGACTGCGACTCGAAGCGACAGCAGCGCTGGCGTCGGCGGAGCCATTTGCGGCGTCGATCGCGGCGGTGCGCACAGCGGTGCCGGTGAGATGTACGGTTCGAACTGCCGGGACCGTGCCCCATTACCTTGCCTCTCCACCACCACGGCCACCGCCTCAGCCACCGTCACTACCGCCACCGCCGCCGGTGCCAGCGCCGCTTCCTCCGCTGCTCCCTACTTTCCTCGTCACGCGTCCTGCCCGTCGTCGCCGTCGCACAAGGCGCTGCCTGAAGCCGTGCCCGAGGCGCGTCCCGCGATCGAGCCGAGCTCTGCTGCGGGGAGCACAGCAGGCGCACCCATCCTAGGGCGCTCATCCGGTAACGGAGGGATTGCGCAACAGCGGAGCAACCAACGGCGGAGCGAAGAACGCGACCAACGCGACCAACGCGACCGTTGCGACTCGTCCCCGCATCCGCAGTATGGTGAAGGCTGTTCCCTGGCTGATTCCTCCTCCGCGCTCTGCGCTTCCGCCGTTCCTTCCGCTTCGCCCCGCGCCCCTACCGTGTCGCTGGCTCTAGCGGAGCCGTATACCCTATTGGAGTTCCCCCCGAGGGGGAAGAGCGGAATCAGCGCGGCCGCGCCTCTCCCCGTCTCTCCGCCCGCCCGCCCGCCCGTCCTTGCTCTCCTCTCCGCTGCCCGCGCGGGGCTGGCGGCGGGCGCGCAGCCGGTCTCTGCGCACGGGGGCCTGGGCGGAGCATACATCTTCCGCGACGAGTCTTGCGCCAACCTTGCGATCGTGAAACCCGCGGACGAGGAACCGCTTGCGCCTAACAACCCCAACGGTTACGTGGGGCGCGCGCTGGGGCAGCCGGGGCTGAAGCGGAGCATCCGCGTGGGGGAGGCGGCGGGGCGGGAGGTGGCGGCGTACGTGCTGGACCATGGCGGGTTCGCGGGCGTGCCGTGCACCGCGCTCGTGTGGGCCGCGCACCCCGTGTTCCACGTCAATGCTCCGCCGCCCCTTCCGCCGCCCCTTCCGCCGCAGCAGCAGCAGCGGGGGCACCACCAGCAGCGGGAGCAGCGGGAGCCGGCGCAGGCGCGGGATGGGGAGCAGGCGGCGGCGGAAGCGGAAGCGGAAGCGGGCGCGCAGTTGCGGCTGTGTTCGATGCAGCGGTTCGAGGAGCACGACTTCGACGCGAGCGAGCACGGCACGTCGCGCTTCCCTGTTTCCGCCGTGCACCGCATGGGCATCCTCGACGTGCGCCTTCTCAACACGGACCGCCACTCGGGGAACATCCTCGTGAAACGGCTCGGCGGCTCGGAGGGCGAGGAGGAGAAGCGCGGGGGGAGGCGGAGTAGTTCCGCGCACGCGCACGCACTCCTGCGCGCGGAGGATGACGTGCGGCTGATCCCCATCGACCACGGGTTCTGCTTGCCTGAGACGCTGGAGTCGGCCTATTTTGAGTGGCTGCACTGGCCGCAGGTGCGCTGCTGCGCCAGCAAGGCGCGGGGGAAAAGGGGACGGGGGGAAGAGGGGGGTAAGGGGTATGGGGAAATGGTCAGGGGGAAGCTTTGAAGGGGGAGAGGGGGTGCGCCCTTGCGCTAGGCGATAGGGGTTGAGGGTGTTGCAAGTCTTGAGCTATGCTCTATGGAGACACCTTTTGTCATCCTTATGTTTTACCTTAACCTCGTCGTGCTTACTTTCCTCCATTCTTCCCCCTTTCCTCCCAATTTTCTTCGCCTCATCCCCCCCGCCCTTCGCCCTCCCTCCCCCTGCCCCTCCTTTCCAATATGCGCTCTCCACCCGCCTCTACCCTCTCCGGTCCCCCCCCCAGGCGTCGCGCTTGTACATAGCCGCGCTGTACGCCGCGCGGGACGCCTTGTGAGTCTCCTTTTGTCACACTCAAAAGTCTCCGCCCGCTTCTCCCTTTGTCCCGTCTCCCCCCCAGGCTTCTCTGCCCTTCTCCCCCGACGAGCTCGAGTACATAGCCGCGCTAGACGCCGCGCGGGACGCGCAGCTGCTGCGCGCGCACCTCCCCGCCATCCGCGCGGGCTGCCTGCGCGTGCTCGCGGTCACCACGACGCTGCTGCAGCGCGCGGCGGCGGCGGGGATGACTCTGGCGGGGATAGGCGCGCTGATGACGCGCGAGGTGCAGGGGCGGGAGGAGCGCCCGAGCGACCTGGAGGTGGCGTGCTGGGAGGCGCTGCAGGCGGTGGCGCAGGGGGGATACGGGAAAGGGGAAGGGGAGGGGGAGGGGGAGGGGGATGGGGAGAGGGAGTGGGAAAGGGAGGGGGAGGGGATGTGGAGGGTGGAGAGTGAGAGTGAGGATGGGGTGGAGGGGGGGATTGTTGAGGAAAGGGACGAGGATGAGGAGACCAGTGAGGAGGGCAGTGAGGAGGGGAGTGATGATGGGAGTGAAGAAGGAGAAGATGCGTGGGAGTGTCCTAGTTGGGCTGTGGGCGGTGATAGCTATGCTGCTTCTTCTGCCAGTGGTGCTGGTGCTGGTGAAGACACCAGCACATGTGCCGCTCTCAGTGGCAGCAACAGCAGCAGCAGCAGCAGCAGCAGTGTACCGCCGGTGCTGTTTGCCCCCATCAAGGCAGGATGGCGATGGGCGGACGCTGCTGATGAGGAGGACGAGGAGGAGGATGCGGCGGTTGACTGTGCTGGTGCTGGTGGCCTTGCTGCTGCTGCTGCTGCTGCTGCTGCTAGCGGTGGTGATGCTGATGCGGATGTGAGGAGTCCCCATGGCGAGCAGTTTCACTTTGACGATGAAGCTGACTTCCTGCGACGCTCCTCCACCACCACAACCGCCACCACCTCCAGTGCCACCGCCACCTCAATCACCACCGCTGACTCCACCGCCACTGCTGCTGCTCTCACAACAGCCACCTCTTCAGTTCCTCGCCCGCCATCCCTCTGTTCCCTGGACCCTGCTCTCCCCATGTCACCACCATGCACAAGCGCACCACTGCTTGACATCCTCCGCCTTGCTCCAGGCGACGCTAGCAGCCCCATTCTCCCTGCCATCCCTACTGGCTCTTCCTGCCCTGCCACCCCTGCCACCCCTGCCAACCCTCCCACCTCTGCCAACCCTCCCACCCCTGCCAACCCTCCCACCCCTGCCAACCCTGCCGGGCCTGCCGGTCCTGCCGTTCCTGCCATCTCTGCTGCAATCCCTCCTGTCCCGGCTGTGTGCTCCCAGGATTCCATCCAATCCGCCCTGTGCAATCGCTTCGCACCCACCAGCAAGACCCCGCTGCCGTCTCTGCCATCCCTGCCGTCTCTGCCGTCTCTGCCATCCCTGCCGTCTCTGCCGTCTCTGCCATCCCTGCCGTCTCTGCCGTCTCTGCCATCCCTGCCGTCTCTGCCGTCTCTCCCTGCGTTCCCGTCTGCGCTCTCGTCTCTCCCGGCGCTAGAGCTCTCGCCGTACCTCTCGCCCCTCTCCCTGGCCGCGCCTGGCGGCAGCTGTGACTCGCTGCTGCTGGTGGCTCACACCGATGCCACTGCAGCAGCAGGGGATGTGGACCAAGGGTCGCTTGGGCAGGTGCAGGAGCAGGGGCAGCAAGGGCAGGTGCTGTCACTGTCTGCTTCTTTCCCTGCGCTGCCTGCAACAGCGGACTATCCCGGCTGTGGCGTTTCCGACACGGGTTTCGATAGCAGCCTCAGGGGATGGAACATCAGCAGCGGGAGCAGCAGTAGCAGCAGCAGTGGCTGTGGCGGTGGTGGGGTGAATAATACGCCCTGCTTCTCCCTGCTCTCCCCCCCGATCCTGGCCTCTGATACCAATTCAGCTCTCAAGTCACCTCCTCTGCTTCTCTCATCCTCCTCCTCCTCTTCTTCGTCCTTGTATCTCAACAGCAGCAGCAGTGTCGCTACGCCTCCCACTGCTTCCTCTTCCTCTCACATTCCCACCTCGCGCACCCCCCTCTCTTCCTCCTCTTTCTCCTCCTCCTATGCCCCCCCGCCTCGCCTCGCCTCCAGAGCTCTGTACCGGCGACCAGTAGGGCAGATGCAAGGAGCAGGAAAGGCAGGAGTGAGGAGGCACCAGCAGCAGCAGCGCCACCAGCACCATCACCAGAAGGAGCAGCAGGAGCAGCAGGAGCAGCAGGAGCAGCAGGAGCAGCAGGAGCAGCAGGAGCAGCAGGAGCAGCAGGAGCAGCAGGAGCAGCAGGAGCAGCAGGAGCAGCAGGAGCAGCAGGAGCAGCAGGAGCAGCAGGAGCAGCAGGAGCAGCAGGAGCAGCAGGAGCAGCAGGAGCAGCAGGAGCAGCAGGAGCAGCAGGAGCAGCAGCATAGGAAGGTTGGCCTGAGCCATTCACTGGCTTGCTCGCCTATGCCGCGGTGTGCAGGCCGGGGAGGAGGGCGCTCGGGAGGAATGGCAGGAGCAGGGGGAGGGAAACCAGGGAGGGCAGGGGCATGGATGGAAGCAGCAGCAGGAGCAGGCGGACTAGCAGCAGGAGGAGCGGCAGCAGGGGGAGCGGGAGGAGCAAGGGAGGAAGGGCCTGGGGAGTGGGTGGATCTGGGGGAGGTGAGGGAGGAGGCGTGGGGGGAGTTCATGTGCGTGCTGGTGGGGATACTGGACGAGCTTATAGCTCAGCGGTGCGGGGACTGTGTCGCTCGCAGGCTGCACTTTGGAACCTCGTGCCAGTTCTGATGAGCCCTGAGCCCTCAGCCCTGGGTCCTGAGCCCTGGGCCCTAAAGCCACAGCCCCGAGTCCTAAGCCCTAAGCCCTGACTGCTACAGATGCCTCTCACAACTAGAGATGTGATCTGATGCCTCTCTGAACAATTCAACGCCTGCTTCTGAATGACAACCATGATGCTGAGGTAGCCGCTGCCAGGAATACTTGAAGTGTCTTCCGTTTCCCCTTCCTCCTGTTTTGCTGTTTCCCTGCTTGTATCGCTTCCTGCGATCTCTCGTAGTATAAGAGAGCGTAGTAGCACGGAGAGTGAAGGGAGTGAAGTGAAGGGAGTGGCTGGCTGGCATGTGTGCTCTGTGTTTTCCTGGCTAAGCAAGTCGGTTGGTTGGTGCGTGCTTGCACCAGTTGGTAGCTCTGGTCTGGTAGTAGGCCATGTAATGGTGTCTATCTACGTAGTAACGTGATATAGTCTATATTTGCATGCGTCTCTTGCTATTCATGCTGTATGCTTCCACGTCATGTAAGGTACCTTGATGGAAATTAAATTTCAAGGTACGGTACTAAACTTGGCCTTTTGTTGCTGCGCTGCAGGTGCAGCCTCACAAGGGAGAAAAGAGAGATTTTTATACCCAGTGACTTCGGTAGTAGTACAGACACAACGCAAACACAACATTGCTCTCATTGCGTTGCATTGTAAACTAGAGCCACATTTTGGTTACGGTACAAGGGCCTCTGTAAGAAAAAAAGTTTCACACATCAGTCAGTCTGCCCCAAAGTACCCGTATACTCCCGGACAAAACACCCCCCCATAATTGTACACCCCCGGGTAGCTTGTGCGGGGTGGGTGTTATGATAGACCTCGTTTCTACTATACCCCCCTTTTTGGCTGATTTTCTACAACACCCCCCCTTTTCTTACGGATTCATTATTATAGTCGTTAACGAGTAGCTGCAATACGGAAGAATGTCGTGTGAATTTCTCCCTCAATGAAATTTCACGGTACATTCAAAGGCAATCTGCCGAGATTTGCCCCCTCCCACTATTTCTCTGTCGCCACGTGCAGGTGAATCTTCCGTTGCAAGTGGCAAGAGAGGTGCCACATGCCATTTTCGTGGGGGCGATGAAGTTCGAGGCCGAAACTCACATTCGCGCCTCAGGCAGTGATGCTAAAACGACCAGCAAAACACCCACATTGACTAATTAAAAAAACACTAACACTAAGATATGCCATATGTAAAGACCCGGGTATTATGTATTTTTTTCCTATGAGGAGACCCCCCCCATTTTTTCCCTGTATTTTTAGCTATACCCTAGGGTGTTATGTCCGGGAGAATACGGGTACCTTTCCTCAGCGTCTCGATTGACCTCTGTCATCCAGTCATCATCCAAGCTCTCGTCCCCATCAATGCGCCCATAGTCCACATCTGCCTCCCTCCCTGCCAGGAACCGTTCTTTCATCGCCTTTTGAAACGTCTCAAAAGAAGTCAGTCCGCCCCGAAATACCTCTCTTCCGCATCCCGATTGACCTCTTTCATCCAGTCATCATCCAAGCTCTCGTCCCCATCAATGCGCCCATAGTCCACATCTGCCTCCCTCCCCGCCAGGAACCGTTCTTTCATCGCCTTTTGAAACGTCTCAAAAGAAGTCAGTCCGCCCCGAAATACCTCTCTTCCGCATCCCTATTGACCTCTGTCATCCAGTCATCATCCAAGCTCTCGTCCCCATCAATGCGCCCATAGTCCACATCTGTCTCCCTCCCTGCCAGAAACTTCTCCTTCATTGCCCATCTCAACTCCTCTAGCGCCCCCTCCCGATCCTCCCCACCCTCCCAAACCTCCTCACCCTCCCAAACCTCCCTACCCTCACGACCCTCCCGATCATCTCGATCCTCCCGAACCTCCTGGCCCTTGGGACCCTCCCCATCTCCCCCTCCAGCTGCCTCTCCTTCAACCTGTCGTCCTTCCTGGCCCTTCTCCTGTGCCCTACCCTGATCTGTTTGTCTACCACCACTGCTTCTCCTTCTCCCAGCCCCATCTTCACCTCCTCGTGCCGCACTCTCCTGCCCTCCACTTCTTCCCGCTTCTCCTCCTCTTTCTCCTCCTGCTGCCCGCCTCTCATCTCCTGCACTCCCATTGTCCCTTCCTGCAGCACCCCCTGCTCTGGCACCCCCTGCTGAAGCAACCCCTGCTCTGGCACCCCCTGCTGTAGCACCCCCTGCTGTTACAGCCCTTGCTGCTGCCACGTCTCTCACAGCACCAGCTCCTACACCTTCCTCTGAAACCAACCTCCCTGCTTCCTCCTGCACTCTCCCTTGTGCTGCAGCCACAGTGCTCCTTCTTCCTCCTCCCTCCTCCTCCTCCCCTTTCTCCCCTCCCTTCCCTTCCTCCCCCTGCCCTTCACACTCCATCTGCATGTGCCCCCAGTGTTCATCCCTGCGGCCATTCATATCCATCCCTCCTTCCTCTTCCTCTTCCTCGTCATCCTCTTCCTCCTCTCCCTCCTCCTCCTCCTCTTCCTCCTCCTCTTCCTCCTCCATCATCCTTCCACGCCCGCCCCTCCCTCTCACTCCTCCCTCACGTGCCCTCCGTCCTCGCACCAGAGCCTGCTGTATCGCCACCTCATCCGTCTGCCTCAGCAGCATCTCCCACAGTCGCTCCCCCGGTCGCGCCACAAACATGCCCTCTGCAGCCCCACCCACCCCCCTTGCCGCTGCCACTGCCACTCCCGCTCTTTCTCCTCCTCCTGCTCCCCCTCCTTCCCCCCCTCCTCTCTCTCCGTCTTCCTCCCCCCCTTCGCCTCTTCCTGCTTGTGCCACCACTGCTGCGCCGGGTGCTCTGTCAAAACCTCCAAGGTAGTCCTGGTGGAGCAGTGGGTCTCTCTCCCTCATTGCTTCCTCGCTGAAAAACACGCCCTCCTGCTCTCGTGGGTTTGTGGTGTGGGGGAGGGGAGCATGGCCGTAAGCACGTGGTGGTGTGGGCACTGCTTCATGTGTCATGCATAATGCGTCATGTAACTTGTATCATGCGTCGTCATGCATCATGCATCATGCACCATGCACCATGAATCACGCATCACGCATGGAGCATCACGCATGGAGCATCACGCATGGAGCATCACGCATGGAGCATCACGCATGGAGCATCACGCATGGAGCATCACGTGTCATGCACACAGCACTGTACCTGTTCCAGACGAGTCATGAACGCCAGGCGACGGTTCTTCACCACAGCAGCAGCCGACGGGTGCGACGATGACGGGTGGTTGGCGGGACGCAGCTGGGTGGGGAGGGGCGGGGGAGGGGAAAGAGGAGGGGGGGGAAGGAGGAGGGGGGGGAGAGGAGTGGGGACGGGAGACGAGGGGAGACGGGGACGGGGGGATTCGGGGGAGTGGGTGGGAGAAGGCGGGGGTGGGAGAAGAAGGGAAGGAACTGATGATGCAGGGACAGAGGGAGAAGGTGGCAATCCAGGCCGCATGAATGGAGGTTATGCAATATAGTGCCTGTGGAATGTGACACGTGGCATGTGGGGAGTGACAAAGCCAACCACAAAAAGCCTACTGACTACTGACGACACACACTCACTCGTCGCATGTGCCATGCGATCTCATAGTCCCCCGCCATGCCATCGAACGCCCGCAGCTCCTCCTCCCGCAGCAACCCTCCGTACCGCTCTGCACACCACCCCGGAAAAACCCCACACGCGCGCAAGCCGACAAAGGGGAACGGGAGGGCGGATGGAAAAGCGGTCCGCGGGTCAGCAACCCGAAACGTTCAATGAAAGGTTTGGGACGATTTTTGAGTCAACAGGCACGCGCCTTCCTTTCGTTACGACACCGCAAGCGGCCTCGGGTGCAGCAACGAACGGGCGCGACCGGCGGCGGGAGAAGGCCGAAACGAGACGGATGACAGGGGTCGAATAATGGGAGGGAGTGATGAAAACTACTAGAGCCACGAGACCGACTGACTGACTGACTGAGGTACCTAGGAAAACCGCCGGGTCGCGCTGTAGCAACGAGGCGAGGTGGTCCTTCTTCTCCCCGCAAGTCACGGGGTCGCCACGACTCTCCATCGCATGCGGCAGTCGCAGGTCCGTTACAAGCGACAGGCGCTCGCTTAATCGCTCCACCTCCGCTGCCGGAACTCCCCGCGCGCCTGTCCCCGCTGCTGACCCCGCCCCCGTGGCATCTCTCCCCATGGGTGCAGAAAGAGTGTCGCGCGGGTAGAAAATGACCCAGGAAGAAGAAAGGGATGGTGCAGAAGGCTGGTATGGAAGGGCGCGAGGAGACTAGGAGCTTGCGTGACTAAGACGGGATTCGTGGCAAGGAAATCTGTTTGGACAAATTCTCTCACCATCTCCACAGCAGCACCGTTTTGCGTTTGTGAAAATATATGTTATAAAAGTATATTGTTATTCATTGTACACAATGTCGTTTTGATACTTTATCAGGAAGCTCTATCTTCAGCACTTACTGTTTTTCAACCGTAGCTTGTAGCCCATCAAGTTTGGCAGCTGCGAACATCAATTACCAGCTAAACTCTCCATACTGAGTTTGAGAGTCAGTTTGTAAGAAGGTTCTGTTTCTGGTCCCACTAAACCGTTGCAGGCTCCTCGGGACAAAAACACCACAGCCACCCATCACTCCTGTTTTGGTTGGTTCTCGTCGAGCCGCACCATTGCTCCCAGTGAGGGAAGCGGCTCCCACAAACATCACACTTGGAAATGCTGCCGTGAGGGGGAAGAACAACAACAGCTATCTTCTTCCAGCCTGCGAAACGCAGCCTTGCATGACAATTCCTCACCACACCAGAGTAGATGTGCGTTATCTGATGGATCCCCTCCAAGCATCATCGCATCGCCTGAAATCCGCTCGGGTGTATCATTGACAGTTGTTGAAGCGCGATGCCTTCCGCAATCGCAGCTCGTGCAGTCAGCCTCGCGTGGAGGGCTATAGGCGCAAGCCATTAGGGTTGCCAAGTTTGAGTTGTAAATTGTTATGCCCGGTCTTCTCGCCAGCTGTCCATTCCTTCCTGCTTTCCGTCTGTAGTATATTCAAAGCATCAGCTCCCTTCCATGGTCGTGCGCGGCCAAACGGTTTTCTGGTTTCAGCAAGCAACAATCTCGACTGCCACTACCGTGAAATAAGCCTCCAAAGCCTGATAACTCTTGCCCTAAATCTACAAAACGAGCAGAATAACAGTCGCCGAGGATAGAATGGCGGCCGCGACGGACGGCCCTTATGGGACGGCGCGAACAGCGCAACTATCTTCGAATCCTCATTCCCCTCCCTCACCAGCCATTCCCGTGAGCCACCTTTCTCCAGTAATACCCATGCAATCGAGACTTCCCTATCATTCCCCCTCCCCCGTACGCACCTCCGTCTCCTCCATCTCCCTCTCCTCTTCCTCCTCCCTCCCCCCTTTCTCCCCCTGCCCAACTCCCCCTCCCGTCCTCCCTGCGAAAAAAACCCCCTCCGACGGCGGAAAGACTCAGGACGACCGGAAACTCTGCGCGTGCAAGCCGCCATTGACCCTATCCCAGGGCCTCAACATACCTTGGATCGGTCCTGTGCGGTGGCTAGACCCGCTCCGATGGCTCCTCGCGGCCGTGAAGAACCCTCTGAACGTCGTCACGCTAGTCATGGTCGGGTGCATGTCGGTCGTTATCTCGCTTAACTTCTCCGCCATGGCGCACATCGCGCTGGCCATGGGCGTGTTGGACAGCGAGTGGGAGGAGAAGCTATGGCAGGAGTTTTGCAACCAGATTCTCAACGCGGTCGGCACGCTCGGCTGCCTCGTCGTGCACCCGCTGCGATGCTACTACCTCGTGCGACTCTGGCGGTGGAGTCGCGAAGACGTCGCCAGCCTTCGTGCGGTGCTCTCGGCGGCGGGACCGTTCGTCGAGAAGCCCGACGAGCGGTGGCATCTGGGCGTCGTGCTAATACTCCTGCAGCTCAACTGCTTCGGTCAATACGCCATCGCGCTTTTCATGTGGTTCGTTTCGGAACCCGATCGACCTTTCGTTCTCCTCGGGTTCATCGTGATAATCGCGCTCGGGTCTCTTATCGCGGCTGGGAGTTATTGCTCCTGGAGCCCTCTCGGCTGGCCTACCGCGTCTAAGCCTGAGAAGAAGACACAGAATCGCGGGAAATCCGGTGGTCGTGTCGTTCCCGTGACGAGCGCCGAGGAAGACGGTGGTACAGCTGCTGGCGCTGCGGAGGAAGGGGGGGATCTGTGCGGAAAGTGCGGGGGCGTGCTGTGCGACAGCGCCGCGGACGACGACGACGACGATGTTGATCGGGTCGCACAGAAGCAAGGGCTGTACGTGCGATTGGACGACGCGAGCGCGGCAGGAAAGCAGAAACCGCACGAGTGGAAAACGCCCACGTGGCAGCCGATGGGGGAGCTGGCGCGGCCGCAATGGCAAGGCTCGGCGCTAGACTGCTGCGCGGATGGCGTAGGCTCGGCGGTCTGGACCACGCTCTGCTGCTTCTGCGTGCACGGGCGACACGTGGAGCGAGCTGGGTTCGGCAACAGGATCGTCCACACTGCCATGTTCTTATTTTTCGTCTTCGGACCTATCCTGATCTTTACTCTCGGCTCGCGGCCCATCGCTAGTGTACCCATGCAGTGGATCGTATTTGGGTTGGGGATTCTTGTAACGTTTGGCGGGGTGACTTATGGCGGGTACTGGCGGTGGAAGTTGCGGCGGACGTTTCTGTTGCCGGAGGAGGAGTGGTGCTGCTGGCACAAGGCGGCGACGGACTTTGCGTCGTGGTACGTGCTGCCGTGCTGCTCGTTGTGCCAGGAGGTGCGCACCGTGCGGCACTACAACCTCCACATGCTCCCACACCTGCCTGATGAGACCCCGGGCGAGGCGCAAAGGAAGGAGATTACTGTGCTGACTATGGCTCCCGCTTCTATTTGCATTGAGGCCTGCGAGATTGGCGTGAGAAGGTGCGGGTAGGGTATGCATACGGGTGTGTGAGTCCTCCTGGAATTGATGCCTTGTGAGGATTTCTCCTGCAATGTACTGTCTGATTTGACTATAAAATTATTATTGCCAATGCAAATTACATGTTCATGCGCCCTGAAAACTGAGGCTTGCTAATAGTTGCTAGCTGGCATGCTAATGGTGGGAACTTCTGGGTCATCTTGAATTGAATAATAATCTGAACATTAGCGGAAACACAAAAGGACAGATTACCGTAATGGGAAATGTCATTAGGGGCTAGTAGGATGGGGGTGGGGTGGGGGGAACGAGGGGAAGAGGATGCTGCTCAAAAACACTAAGGCTATGCTATGGTTCCTCTGCATACAAGAGCGGCCACTGACGTGGATAGGAGAAAACCAGCACCCTGGGCCCTGCACTTTAGAACCCAAGGCTTGTGGAAGAACGCTCAAACTCAAATCAGAATTAACGCTCCAGCGGGCGGTTCAGCATCCATATTAGAGAGGTCGGATTCTCCCAACCTCGACAAGCAGGCACCGTGTGTGTCAGCGCAGCTCAAACTCAATGCTGGTGGTGGTGGTGGTGGCGGTGGTGGTGGGGGGTGAAAAAGTGGGTGGATGGCGGTAGCAGTTGTAATGGTGATGATAATGCGGCTGCTGCTGCGTTGCTGCTGCTGTTCCTGTTCAACCTAACTGGCTACACACCTCTCTCCGAGTCCCCCAGTGCCCTACACGCCTACTTGCCTCCATCCGCCATTCCCAACGGGCATCACCATTCAAAACGCCTCAGAACCCCTGTCTACAGTCACGTCACTCCGCCATGGCTACAGTCATCGGAGTGACCTCCATACACAGCGTCCCAGGCGCGCCCATCACCATCACAGCGCCGCCCTCCCCGCTGCTCCCCTCCTTGCCCGGCCCTTCGGGAATCTCCAGTCTTAGGTTATACCGCCGAACGGTACGCACCTCTTGGCACAGCGAGCAGCACGGCAGCAGGTACCACGACGCAAAGTCCGTCGCCGCCTCGTGCCCGCAGCACCAGTCGCTCGCGGGCAGGTGGAAGTTTCGCCGCAGGTACCACCGCCAGTAGCCCGCGTAAGTCAGGCCTAGAATCGTGCTAATCACCCCGAGCGCGAACACGAAATTCTGCATGTAACCGGGGGGGAGGATGGCGGAAGCCGGCCCGAACATAGCCATGGGTCCGACGAGGAAGAGGACAAACATGGCGGTGTGGACGATTTTGTTGCCGAACCCGGCGCGCTCCGCGTTCCACCCGTGCACGCAGAAGCAGCAGAACGTAGCTGCTACAGCCGTCCACCCGTCCGACCAGCAGTCCAGGAGCCCGCCCTGCCACTGCGGCCGCGTGGCGCCTCCCACCGGCTGCCACGTGGCGCGACGCCATTCGTTCAGGTCGTCCGCGTCCTTGCCCTTGCCGCCCTTGCCGCTCTTCCCGTCAATCGCGCCGCAACCCGTGGAGCTCTCCTTGCCACCCCCGCAAACCTCGCACCGCCGCGACAACAACCCCTCGCCCTCCCGACCCGCCTCCTCGTCCCACTCGCCGCATTCCCCGGTCGCAGAGACGCGCCGCCCCGCGGGTTGCGGCTTGGCTCCTGTAGGCCACCCCAGGGGGCTCCAGAGGCAGTAAAGCCCGGCAAAGATAACGGAACCTAGCGCGAAAAGCGCGAGGCAGCCGAGAAGCACCATGGGGCGGGAAACCATGTCGGTTGTCCACATGAAATAGGCGATCGCGTATTGAAACACGCAGTTAACTTGCAGTAAGAAGATGACGAACGCGATGTGCTGCCACTCCTTGGGCTTTCGCACGAACGGGCCGGCTTTCGACAGCATCGCGCGGAGACTCGCCGCGTCTTGCGGGCTCCAGCGGAAAACCTGGAGCACGTAGTAGCACCGCAACGGATGGACTAGAAGACTTCCGAGCGTGCCGATCGCGCAGAGAACCTGATTAGACAGCTCGAACCATAACTCTGCTTGCGGTTGCGTGAGGATCCCGAGGAGGAGCGGAATCTGGGAGATTATCGCGCAGTTGATTCCGACCATGGAGCCCGCGAGGGTTACGGTGAAGAGGGTCATAACGTTAAGCGGGTCGCGCACGAATTCCCTCAGGAATCGCGGCGGGTCGGACCATCGGACCGGGCCGAGGAACGGCAGGTTGAGGCCTTCGGATAGGGAGAGCTTTTGCGCGGATGGGCGCGCTTCTGGTGCGGACGACGCGGTGTTAGCGGCGGTGGCGCTGCAGCTGCAGCGGAAGGCGGAGGAGTCGTCGGTTTGCGCGCGGAGCTTTGCGAGCGATGCTGAAGGGGAGCGGGGAGAGAGGTGGGGGATGGAGGAGGAGGACGATGAGAGGGAGAGGGATTCGGAGGAGGAGGGGCTTTGCGCGTCGGAGGAGAGGGTGGTGCGTACGGGAATGGGTCGAGTGATAGTAGGCATGGGGATAGACATGCCTGTGGATGAATGCGGCGCCATGACAGGCTTTTTGAGGGCCTCGGGCCGGAGTTAAGAAGAGGTTGCTGATGCTTCGCGATGGTTTATCTTGCTTCGGGATTTGGCACTCGGGCCTCGGATGAGAAGCTAAAGAAGAGTATATGAGGGGCTATTGTGGATACGATAAATGGCTTCTGGGAGGATTTTCTTTTGAAAGAGCTGAACTTGCCGTGGCAATGTCGGCTAACCTAGTGCTGTATCAGACCACCAAGTACAAATCGGAGTTTGTGTTCTGCTGAGCTTTGAACCAAGACGCCTGACTCGAAACTGAAGTGAGGTGCGTTGGGAGGGAATGATGATCGAAAGGCGGAGAGAAAGGTTGCTTTTGTGTGGTTGCGGCCAGGCCTATGCATTGCTTTCTTCTTTCTCTCCCCCCTTCTCAAATCGAACCTTCGCTCGTAGGCGCGCCCACTTACTGCGGAATTTCCCCCTCCCCTATCTCCAGCTCCACCGTCCCCCGCACCCGCCTCGTGCAGCTAGGTTAGGTCATTTGTGTCAATCATGAGACTTGTATGTGCAGTCGAGGCGCGCGGTGATGGCTCGGAGTCGGAACAGCCGTTGGATGGATGTCGCTCAGTGAGTTCTGTATTGTTGTGGGAAAGAAAGGGGCGGGAGAATACATTGGAGGACCGAGGTGATGGGGGAGGAAGAATTGCGTTGCGGCGGGGGGAATGATGAGGGGTGAAGGGAGAAGCTGCGGTGGGAAGGGGGGAGAAACGGGTGGTGGAGGGGTCTGGGCGAGGCGGGCGAACCTTGCGAAAACCATGAGGGAAGCGCCAGCGACCGATGATGTCGGGACGTGACCGCCCGCGGACCGCGTTGCCGGAGCTCGTATTTTGTCTCGTCTCTCCTCCGTCCATCTGTCCCTTCGAATTGAAACACCCACCGTCCCTGCCGCGAACCTGCCTAGCTGGGAACCACCGCCAACCTACGTCGTGCAGGCTTGGCGATATGGAATTCGCACGTTGAGAGACTCGAGAGTGAATTACCACGTTACGTCTACAATAAAATACTCACTGATTCATTATTTTACCTGGAGTAGCAATTGGTTTGGAATCGTATCCTGTCCTTCCAAAATGCAAAATTGTGAACCTGGGGCCAGCTTGAAAGAGAGCCTGTCGAGCTAAACAATTTTCAATCCAAACCGAAAAGTTTGCACTGTTTCATTGAGAGTGCCATACCAGCACGAATATAAGGAGCTGCAGAAACAATAGATACTCATCAGATAATATCATAAGCCACGAAAAAATTGCATGCACTCTGCTCAAATTCCTGCAGATGCTGCCACTCAGGGCTGACTTTATCAGACTAAAATAGTCTGATTGTCTGAAATCTCAGGGTATTTTCCTACGGATCCTGATTTTTCAGACTTGTAAGATTTTCAAACATGAGTGCCTCAGACTTACTTGGTTTTGGATCCTGAGATTTTCAGAGTACAGACTTAGCCGATAATGGGTCTTCATACTACAGGGAGTACGGATCCTGAAATGCGGATCTGTGATTTCTACGTACATTCCGCTACGTCATATGTTGCCAGTGTACGAACACACTTCATGGCGCTGTCACGCGCAGAATCTGTCCTTGGCAACTTTTGCCACCCTTTTCCCTTAGAAATCTGCCAACTTGGCTCACTCTTCCACTCACGCGGGACCATCACTGCAGCTACGCGGTGTCAGCGAGGGAAACTGGTTAGCGTTGCGCCCCACGTGCTACATTTGTGGCAGTACTGTACTGCAGTGGTTGTAGTGTGTTCTGAGTACTTCAGAGGCCCTCAGATTCACTTTTAGGGACGTTGATGCATCAGGGTCCCTGTGAAAAATTGCCTGATTTTTCAGGGTTCCAAAAAAAAAACCCTGAATTTTCAGGGTTCCTAAAAACAAAAGCCTGAATAGTCAAATTCAACAAGCCTTTAGGAAAAATGCTAACCGATGGATTCAAACCGCAGACCTTTTCATTGCGTGTAAATTTCTCTAACCACTGAGACATTTCACCCTGCCAATTGCCAGTATGTTGTTTATCTATATATATAAAGTAGAAATGTTTTTCTCTTAGGTGTTTTACGGGAAGGATTCGGAATGTGCATTCAGTGTACACTTCGATAAAAGTCTGAAACATCAGTGTTAGCTATGACGTAAAGGCTGAAAAAATCAGTGTCCCAAAAATCTCAACACTGAAAAATCAGGGGAGGTACACAAAACTAGGCTGAAAATCAGGAATTTCAGGGGAAAATTCCTGATATCGTAGGGCCTTCAGACTTGTGTTTTTGCGGAACCTGAAAAATCAGAGTGGCCATTCTCTGGGAAATATGCCTCAGACTAAAAATTTTCAGAGCCCCCAGAACATCAGACTGGATTTTTTTTGAATAGTCAGCCCTGCTGCCACTGCTAGTTTTGTCCATGTGTAAAGCATGGGCGGCTTTTGAAAGGTAAGTAGCGATTCGAAGTGGTGAAGCAGACGTACTGTAAAGCAGCACAGAGCGCATGCTGGGATCTTCCTAATGTACAGTTTATCAAGGCATCCTGGGAAGACATTAAGGCATGATTGCTACATCAGCAAACGTTGACCGTGCTTTTACAAATGCAAAATCTCACATTCTGTGTACCATGGCCGTTAAATGAAGGATACTGTACAAAATAACAAATGTTGCACAGTGCAACCCCTATCCCACCAGTCACCCAACAGCCACCTTCTCTAGTCCACAAATCCAAAATTCTTGCACAAAAGATGAAAACACACTGCCTCCCTTCACCTGCTGCACACCATGCCATGCAGAATCCATGCCAATGCCCACCATGTCAGCAGACCCGCGTGACATGATGGTGCTCACTCGGCCTTCTGCCCGAAAATCATGATAAACTGCCCGTTGGTTTCCTGGCGATACTCCACAAACCCTGAAAGCTGCAGCAGCTCCCTCAGCTCTTCCCCCTCCCAAAGCTTCATGGTGGTGTCTGCACGCATTGACTGCACCGTGGAGGAAAGGGGGGAGGGAGGAGGGAAAGGATGTGTGTGGGTCACAGAGGTGGGAGGGAGGAAAGGGTCTGCCTTCCCTCCCACACCTTCGTAGTTGGGTTGGGTCCATGCCCAGTGAATGCATCATGGGCTGGAGGGAGGGGGGGAAATCACGTGAAAAAAGAAGAGTTTTGAGACGTCTCAAAACCCTTCGTGGTTGGGTTGGGTCCATGCCCAGTGAATGCATCATGGGCTGGAGGGAGGGGGGGAAATCACGTGAAAAAAGAAGAGTTTTGAGACGTCTCAAAACCCTTCGTGGTTGGGTTGGGTCCATGCCCAGTGAATGCATCATGGGCTGGAGGGAGGGGGGGAAATCACGTGAAAAAAGAAGAGTTTTGAGACGTCTCAAAACCCTTCGTGGTTGGGTTGGGTCCATGCCCAGTGAATGCATCATGGGCTGGAGGGAGGGGGGGAAATCACGTGAAAAAAGAAGAGTTTTGAGACGTCTCAAAACCCTTCGTGGTTGGGTTGGGTCCATGCCCAGTGAATGCATCATCGGCTGGAGGGAGGGGGGGAAATGAGAACCCATTTGGCTGGAGAGAGAGGGGGGGTGTAGGGATGAGTGGGGCCAGGGAATTGGGGAGAGGCGAATGCTCCTCACATGGTGCCACGGTCGTGTCCATGCCCAGTGAATGAATCACGTGCTGGGACGGAGGGAGGAGTGAAGGGGTTGAGATTAAAGAGCTGTATGCATGCAAGGGAGAGAGAAATGACTCATGGTCGGTCGTGTCAATGCGCAGTGAATGCATCAGTCACGCTCTGATTAATACACGGAGCATTTGAGAAAGCGAGAGAAAGTAAGAGAAGGAGAATAAGTGCAAGAAAGAGGGGCAAGGGAGGAGCTGAGGAGGGAGAAGGGCAGGGAGCCATGGGCAGATTTGCAAAAAAAATGGATGATCTTTTAGCCGAAGGGACCTTTGAGTCGACTCAAAAGTCACTGCAATGCCCCATTGTAGCAATGTCACTAACGAGTTGACTCAAGAGAAGGAGGGGGGCCATGTGGGCAACCTTGCGAAGGGACTGGAAGAGCTCGTTGCCGAAGGGAGCGGAGGGCCAGAGGATGGTGGATGCCACGAACTTGCCTCCTGGGCGCAGCACCCGGTTGATCTCCGCCATCTGTGGTGCGGTGTGGTGCGGTGTGGTGTGGTGTGGTGTGGTGTGGACATTAGCGAAGGTTGGGGGGCGAAAGAGGGAGGGAGGATATTTGTGAGGCGCGTAAAGACAGAACTTGCCTCCTGGGCGCAGCACCCGGTTGATCTCCACCATCTGTGGTGTGGTGTGGACATTAGCGATGGATGGATGAGGGACGGATGGGATGGGAGGAGGTGCTCTTTGTGGCATTGGAAGAACAAACTTGCTCCTGGCCGCAGCACCCGGTTGATCTCGTCTCCGCCATCCGGTTGGGAATTAGCAATGGATGGGGGTCGGAGGGATGGGAGAAGAGGAGGGGAGACGAGACGGGGAGAAGAGGAAGGGAGAAGACGAGGGGCGAAGAAGGGTGGGGAGGAGAGGAGGGGAGACGAGGATGGGAGAAGGGGTGGGGAGGAAGGAGCTTTGAGTTGTTTCTGAGGAATAGGAAGGTGAGAAGGATAAAAGAAGGAGGGAAGAGAAAGCACGAATATGGGGTACGAATATAGGAGGGGAAGGTGCAGTGGACGGACGGTAATGGTGCAGAGCAAGGTAGGTAGGAGTGACGTGAGTTGGAGGAAGAGCGGACAGTGAAACAGCGGAGAAGAGCAGTGAGATAGGGAGAATGGGAGAAAGGGCCAGAGGAGTGGGATGCGGTGGAGAGAGAGGGTGTGAGGGAAAGGAGCACTGACAGCAAGAGAGGGCGAGGGCCAGCAGTGCATGGCAGCGCCGGCATGGATCGCATCGATGGACCCAGAGCAGAAGGGCAGGCGCGCCACATCTGCCTGCACTAGCATGATGCGCCTGATTGGTGTGATGTGGGGGGGTGGGTGGGGAGAGACACGGGGGTTGCGGATGGTGTGAGGATGATGGATGATGGCAGCCCCGGCGACTTAAGAGTCGACTCAAAAGTCACTGCGGATGGTGTGAGGATGATGGATGATGGCAGCCCCGGCGACTTTTGAGTCGAATCAAAAGTCACTGCGGATGGTGTGAGGATGATGGATGATGGCAGCCCCGGCGACTTTTGAGTCGACTCAAAAGTCACTGCGGATGGTGTGAGGATGATGGCAGCCCCGGCGTGGATTGCATTGCATCGATGGACCCAGAGCAGAAGGGCAGGCGCGCCACATCCGCCTGCACTAGCATGATGCGCCTGATGGGCGTGATGGGGGCGGATGTTGGTGTGTGGGGGAGGGGGAGGAGATACACACAAGGCACTGGAGATGGGGTGAGAATGCGGAGCATGGATGGAAAGCATGTTTGGACCCTCCGGACCCCTCGAGCTGCATTCCCTCGAGCTGCATTCCCTCGAGCTGCATTCCCCGGACCCCTCGGAGCAGAAGGGCAGGCGAGCCACGTCCGCCCGCACTAGCATGATGCGCCTGATTGGTATGATGGGGGTTGGGGGGTTGGGATGGGAGCGGTGCGGACGACACGGGGCATGGAGATTGCTTTGAGACGTCTCAAAACATGCGGACGACACGGGGCATGGAGATTGCTTTGAGACGTCTCAAAACATGCGGACGACACGGGGCATGGAGATTGCTTTGAGACGTCTCAAAACATGCGGACGACACGGGGCATGGAGATTGCTTTGAGACGTCTCAAAACATGCGGACGACACGGGGCATGGAGATTGCTGCGGTTACGGTTCAGATGGTAGCCCCGGCGGGCGTGAAAGTTCACGTCCTCCTGCACCAGCATGGTAGAGACGTGAAGCAGACACGCGGTTGCTGCTGCTGCTGCTGCTGCTGCTCTGCTCTGCTCACACACACATCCCCCACTGCACCACACTCACTCAGTCCTGAGCCTCTTGCAGGAGGATAAGAGCCTCCTGCAAGAGGCGCGCACATCCTCCTGCAAGAGGCGCACACATCCTCTTGCAAGAGGCGCACACATCCTCTTGCAAGAGGCGCACACATCCTCTTGCAAGAGGCGCACACATCCTCTTGCAAGAGGCGCACACATCCTCTTGCAAGAGGCGCACACATCCTCTTGCAAGAGGCGCACACATCCTCTTGCAAGAGGCGCACACATCCTCTTGCAAGAGGCGCACACATCCTCCTGCAAGAGGCGCACACATCCTCTTGCAGGAGGCTCTTATCCTCTTTGATGTACGCCGCTGTCTGCTCTGCTCCAGTCTGCAGAGGCTCCTGACAGGTCCGCTGCGATCACCGTGGAAACAAGCAGACACAGACACCAGACACACCACAAGCACCCAGACGAATCCACTGCAGTAACCACAGACACACCCCCAAAACACACCACACTCACTCACTCCTGAGCTTCCGTCAAGCTCTTATCCTCTTTGATGTACGCCGCTGTCTGCTCTGCTCCAGTCTGCAGAGGCTCCTGACAGGTCCGCTGCGATCACCGTGGAAACAAGCAGACACAGACACCAGACACACCACAAGCACCCAGACGAATCCACTGCAGTAACCACAGACACACCCCCCAAACACACCACACTCACTCACTCCTGAACTTCCGTCAAGCTCTTATCCTCTTTGATGTACGCCGCTGTCTGCTCTGCTCCAGTCTGCAGAGGCTCCTGACAGGTCCGCTGCGATCACCGTGGAAACAAGCAGACACAGACACCAGACACACCACAAGCACCCAGACGAATCCACTGCAGTAACCACAGACACACCCCCCAAACACACCACACTCACTCACTCCTGAGCTTCCGTCAAGCTCTTATCCTCTTTGATGTACGCCGCAGTCTGCTCCAGCATGGCTCCTGACAGGTCTGCTGCGATCACACTGCAAACTCAGACACAGACACCACACTCACCCTGCCGGGTCTACTGCAACAAGCACAGAGCACACGCCAAAAACCGCACTCACTCTTCTGCCTCCGTGAGACTCTTATCCTCTTTGATGTCTGCTGCTGTCTGCTCCAGCATGGCTCCTGACAAGTCCGCTGGGGTCACCGTGGCCCAGCCACCAGCACGCAGGGTGCAGCAAGCACACAGCACACACAGAGAAAGCAAAGCAGAGGCTGGACTCACTCTTGTGCTTCCGTCAGGCTCTTATCCTCTTTAATGTACGCCGCAGTCTGCTCCAGCATGGCCCCTGACAGGTCTGCTGCGATCACTGTGGCCCAGCCGCCTGCAGCAGCGAAGCGGCGGGTGAAGAGCCCCGAGCCACAGCTGAGGTCCACCACGCGACCACCCTCATGGCTGTCCAGCCACTGCTGTGCCATGCGGAACTGTGCAAGGGAGAGAGGGGGGAGAAAGGGCGTGGGGCAGGGGGAAGCAGAGGGAGGAGGTGGAGAGGCGTGTGAAGAGCCCCGAGCCACAGCTGAGGTCCACCACGCGACCACCCTCGTGGCTGTCCAGCCACTGCTGTGCCATTCGGAACTGTGAGAGAGGGAAGGTGTGGGAGTGCGGGGGCAGGGGCAGGGGCGGGTGGAAGGAAGGGGAACGACGTGGAAAGGCGGGTGAAGAGGCCTGAAGCACAGCTGAGGTAAGGTCCACCACCCTCCCGCCCTCATGGCTGTCCAGCCACTGCGATGCCATGCGGAACTGGCGAGGAGAGGGGGAATGGGAGGAGTTGGGGATGGGGGAAAGTCAGAAGGGGAGGGAAAGGGATGAGCTGGGGAAGTGGGGAAGTAGGAGTGGGGACGAGGTGAAGATGCGTTTGATGCCCCAGACGCAGCTGCTGAGGTCCACCACTCGCCCGCCCGCCCTCGTGGCTGTCCAACCACTGCTGTGCCGTGCAGAAGTGGGGAGGGGGAGTAGGGGGAGTAGGGGGGAGAGAGGAAAGAGGGGAGGGAGGTGAGGATGCGTGGAGGAGGGAGTGAGAGCGGGGATGGGTGGGAGGAAGAGGGGGTGAAAGAGGGGATGGTCGGAAGAGGGGGTGAGAGAGGGGATGGGAGGAAGAGGGAATAAGTGAGCGGGAATGGACGGAGGAAGAGGAGGTTTCGCTGTGGCTATTCTCTTGGTATGTTAATCTTTAGCACTTCGGAGAGAGAATAACCGAATGGGCACTCCGTGCACACCGTGATCACGGTGGTATAAACACTCCCACTCTACTTCCTCCCTACTCTTCCTTCCCCACTCCTCTTCTTCTCCTCCACACTCTTCCCCCCGGTGTTCCCCCCGCCCTTCCTCCTTCTGATACTTCCCTGACATTCTCCCGCAACTCACTACCCACGCACCTCCCCGTCTGGCCCTGGGAAACCGCTTCTGGTGAAGTTCTGCCGGTACCCAAGTCACTTCTCGTACAGAAAACGAGAAACACAGGGCTCTTGCCTTTGAGGCGACTCAGAAGCCGTTTCAGCCGTTTGACACAAAAGTCACCACGCACGCACCTCCCTGTCTGGGCCTGGGAAACCGCTTCTGGTGAAGTTCTGCCGGTAACCTCTTTCGTACACGAACGAGAACACAGGACTCCTGCTCGTGGTGGTGAAGAGGAGGAGGAGAAGGGAAAAAGGGCGAGGGTGAGGGTGAGGGTGAGGGGGAGGATGAGATGGCATTATGCCCTGGAAACACGGGAAGACAGGACCACAGGAAGCACTCAAAAGCAGCCAACAGAGAAGCATGCACACTCAGTCAAGTGAGCAGCAGTTGCAAGCAAGCACTTGGAAGCACACAAAGAAGCAGTTGTGAACGCATGCTCTTGAACGCCTCGCATTGAAAGGGCATGTTTATACCTGCACATCCACACATCCAAACATCCACACATCCAAACATGCACACATGCACACATGCCCATACACCATAGGTAGGTGCATGAAAGATCTCAAAAGTGATACTTGCACGCACGCATCCACGCACGCACGCACTTGAAGGCCTCGGATCGGAAGGGCAGAGGCGGCTCCACGTATTCCGTGACGCCCGCGGTGAGCGTGAGATCCGCGTACCCCGCGCTGCTCGTCGCGTACACGCGCGCGCATGTGGCACACTGGAGGCGCATGCGCGATGCCGTGTTCCTGGGCGTTCGGAGAGAGAGATGAAAAGGGACAACATGGGATATGAGTTGGGGGATTAGAATAGTGAGGGGATTCAGGTGAGAGGGGATTCAGGTGAGAGGGGATTCAGGTGAGAGGGGATTCAGGTGAATGAGGAGACTACCAACACCGACGGTGAACGAGCCGATGTAACGACAGCGTGCAACGGCGCCACTCACATGTTGAAGGTCCGAGCGGAGCGGGACCCGGAGATGGAGAGCGGTTGGAAGCACACCGGGCAGCCCAGCAACGGCCGCTGCTCGCCTGTCGCATCGTCCGTGCTCTCCGCTGCCGTCGTGGTGGCTGCCGATGCTCCCGCTGCTGCTGCTGCTGCTGCTACTTCTCCGCGTTTCTTCGCTGCCGGATTCCTGCTGCCGCTACTTCTGGCGCCTGTCGCAGCTCTGACGGGTACTAGCGCGCAGCGTCGTCTAGACGAGCGGCCAATGGCGGAGCTGCCGTTTGGTAACCGGCACGGGGGGACGACACGGGGAAGGAGAGACGCGGCGGATGCGGAGAGAAAGGTGGAGCGGAGCGAGAGGCTGCTGGCGGTGCTTGAAGAGGGGATTGCCATAGCTGGGCACGCCATGTGACAAGCTTGAACGGGATCTGGAATGTACAAGCGAGCGGTCGGTGTACCGAACCGTTGAGCAAGAAAATGCTGGAAGAAGCGGCGCGGACTAGCTATTGAAGTCGTCGCGTCGCGCGCGAGTCTAAGAATCTGTACTGAGAAGGAAAATTATTCCGAGCAGGTGATTCAGTTCAGAAGAGCAAGGTAGGATGCACGAAGTGGATGGATTATTGGAAAAACAAGTAGCCTTCGCCAGCGTTTCGCCACAGGTAAAATGGGACTAAACTGCCAGCCACACGGGTAACCCTTCTCAGCTTTTGTGTTTTGTGTGTTCCGCATCCGCACCTGAGTTTGCGAGGACGAGGTGTTTAACGACGTAAACGAAGGAGCAGAATCTGTTACAAAAACTTATGACAGTCACCCAAGGTTCGGGAATCACGTGGCTAGCTCGAGAGAGCTCCGCGTGGATGCACAGCCAGACTTCTGGACGTATCCGTTAGAGGATGTACACGTAATTCGATTGTGCACAACCGCTCTTTGTTGATTTCCTAATAACTGAATTGTTAACAACAACCATATCAATGCGACCTTTTCCCATTCGTCCCAACAGAAGTTCCCATCACACATCCACTCCGACGGATGTCCATGGCTGCTGTAATCAATACCTTCTCAAGACGCGATTCGTAACCGCACGAGATTCTCCTATGTTCAAATACCTAAAGCAGGTGAGAGCGACTTCCGTCCCCCCCACCAACCTGCTTCTACTTCATTTTTCATCCCGTTGCGCGTTCTCGGTTTCTTACTCATCTACACTAGCCACGGGCTCGTCAGCAACTCGCAGAGAAGGCCCACGTGGCTCGACTTGTGTCCGACGGACTATGAGGACCAGGCCTTCGCAGCCCACCTGTCCTCTTTTGACAGCTCCGACGGACTATGAGGACCAGGCTTTTCATTCAAAACACTCGCTGTTTCAAGCGTAACCCATGCGTCGGTAGTCGTACTCGTCCCCTCCCTCCCCTCTCACGTTCTCGGACTGATTCGTCAACTCGTTTTCTGCTGTTCGCATGGCCAATTGCCGTGATTCCTTATCTCGCAGCTATGGCGGCAGGGCCAAGCGGCGGGCGCGGCCCTTGACAAGCGTCGGCTGCAGCAGCATGCTGACACGCACCGCCTGCTGCTGCTCGCATGGTGAGAGACAGATAGGAAACGGGGAAGGATGCATGCGTGCATCCATGCATCCATGTCTGCATTCAATGTGAGTGGAAAAACCGAACCGCATTTGCTTCAGCTGTCAACATCATCTATTTTCGCCAGTCAAGGCAAATCAATCATCCACCCGATATATGAAGTCAATGCAGGGGTTGCAATGCGCTTCTGGTGACATACACTCACCAACCATTTGAACTGAATGAATCACTTGCTCTTTCATACGTATCCTCCTAGTCATCCCGTTTTTCTCCTGTTCCGCATTGCTCGCACATTCACTCTCCTTTCCTGCCATCCCTATCGCCCGACCCATCCCTCCCATGCTCCCTCCCACTCTCCAAAAAAAATTCTTAGGCTGCGGGAGCAGGGAGGATCAGCGTCGGAAGCAGCAGCATCGAGGTTCGCCCAGGAGGTAGCGGCACTGCCACTGGAGGAGAGCAGACGTGAGCTTGCAGGGATGATGCGGGCCCATATGCGACAAACGCTGCAGGCCATGCAGGTGCGCCCATGCATGCATGGGGTGCGTGTGTGTGAGTGTATGCCAAGCCTTTGTGTCCTCCGGGTGCTCCCTGCGCTTGCATCCATATACTCCCCTTTCCACTGCACTGTTGGTCACTTGTTTGTCCTGTATGCACCATCTGTTCTGAGCACGTCTGCCATGCGCCATGCGCCATGTGACATGTGCCAAGAGATGTTCCAACTTTTCCTTCGCATGCCACATCAACACAGCTGCAACACAGCTGGCAGCAGCCATTGCATGGCGCAGGTCACAGCAGCTTCACCCTCTCTGCTTTTCTCCCTTGTCGCCTCCCGTTCAGCGCCCTCCAGGCTGTCTTTGAGCCCGCCTCTGCGTGTGGCAGTGGCAGTGGTAGTGCCAGCGGGACGGGCCAGGAGTCAGGCCAGGAGCCGTTTGTCAGTGAGCTCAGCTTTGCACTGGGACAGCCTCTCGAAGGCAGGAAACGGTAAGAAGCGGTAGGAACCTTCAGAAAACGGTAGGAAGCGGTGCGGTGGACAGGCACCATGAACATGCTTGGATGATCTCGCTACAGTGTGTAAGAGAGTCAGGCATTTCGCCAGTCAGGCTTCACTTGAATTTCCGCCATTTCCTATCCACCTGCCCTGTCTATCCAATGTGGCCCTTTGCCTTGTCTATCCCTGCAGGCCCAGCAACACAGCTCATCCGTCACACCTCTCCCCTTCAGAAGCCTCTTCCGCCTTTTACCGTTCCACTGGTTTCTCCCTCTCCCTCCGCCCCTCCTCTGTTCCTCACCCCACCTCTGGCCTCGGTCTCTTCCTCCACGGCTCCGCCTCTCCTGGTACCATTGTTGCGCAATATCCTGGGGTGATTTACCCTCGGGTTATGCACCGGTACCTGCCAGGTTTCCCCCTCGTGGACAGCAATAACCCGTACCTGCTCGCACGGTTCGATGGGGTGATTGTAGATGCGAGGCCGTGGGGGGTTGGAGGGGCAGGCAGGGAAATGTGGAGCGGGATAGAGGAGGAGAATCTTGCGTGGTTGAGGGAGAGGGAGCGGTGGGAGAGAGAGGAGGGTTTGCAGAGGATTGATGACCAGTGGTTAAAGGGAAGGGGAGCGAGGGATGAGGAGCGGGCATTGGCAGATGCAGTGAGTGGTTCCACCACAGGTCCCAGTGCAAGCAGTACAAGTAGCAGTGTTGTCGGCGATCGCGACGACGCCAGCAGCGGCAGCAACGGCAGCAGCGGCAGCAACAGCAGCAGCAGCAGCAGCACTAGCATGTTTTCATTCAATAGGGCACTGGAAGCGGCACTAGCCCGCGTGCTGGTGGGAGGCGACAGCTGGCGCAACAACGCGGCTCTTCTCACTGCAGCCATCGCTGCCACTCAAGTGGAGATCGAGAGGAGGAACCCTCTTGCTCTGGCTCACTTTGCAAACCACCCGGGAGGTTCCGGGCAATCGCCCAATGTGGCGATTTGCCCTCTGGACATTCCATTGGAGGATACAGAGTGGAACAATCTCCGGCCGTACATGCCTAATTCTGTGTTCCGCTTAATGGAAAAGAGATCGGAGGGAATGAGGAGAGGGCGGAGGTCTGCAGGCAGGAGGGGGTCAGAACGTGACTCTGTTGAGACGAGTATGGAAGTGGATGGTGATGATGAAGACGAGGAGATGAAAGGGGGGGTGCTGAGGACTGTGGTGCTGGTGGCGACAGATGTGATCAAGGATGGGGAGGAGGTGTTTCTTGACTATAGATTGAACCCCAATGCCAATCGCCCTGACTGGTATGTTCCGGTGGATGCCAAGGCAGAGGAGAGGCGCTGGTCATAGATTGCTGCAAATGGGGATTTGAGCAACGTGCTATGGTGGTATAAAAGATTTATGTGGCTATTCTTGCAAAACGTGATAGCATAGAAGAGACGCACATACACAATTGACGTGGGTTTCAATATACAAATCACTGCAGACCAGCAAGTACTAACTGTATTACTGCTATATGTTGCTTTGCCTTTCGCCTTTAGTGTAGCCGTCCTTCTCCTGATCCAACTACCCGCATCGCCGTTGCGGCAACCCGAAATGAGTATGAAATCAAGAAGGGGTTTTGGGAAGTCCCAAGGGTTTTGGACGCAGCAACATTTCCAGGCCTCGAACATTCCGGCGGCGTGGGCTGGCGTATGGGCAAGCAATTAGGCGACGCGCTCAATCACATGCGCGCAGAGCTAGTAGCGGGCAGAATTACAAACCTTGTTCACCAGCGATATCCTTCTTGTACAAGAGACCCACACCCGCCACACACTCTGACCCGTGGTAATGGCCCTGCTTTCAAACATTTCGGGTCAGTTTTATTTCAAAAACATATAAAGAGATGATCAAATTCTTTCCATCATGCTGATGTCCCTCCCCTCACGCATCCCTGCCTACTCAGTCCCATGGTACTGCCATCCCATTTGATCCCCTCCTCCAGTTCGCTACTCTCCCCCACCCCCCAACCTCCTTCCCTCCTCTCCCTCCTCCCCCCTCCCCCCTCTCCTCGCCCGTCCCCCCAACCCTAAGTCCCATTTGACCGCTCCGCTTCTTCTCTTATGCTCTTTTGCCTCTGCTCGTCGCAGCTTGGCAGGCATTAGCACGCAACTGTCGCCGAGAGCCTCCTTACCCTGCCGCCTCGTTAATTCTTTAATTTCCCGTCCAGGCCTTGGTCACGGGCAGGGCGTTCGCAGGCGAATCCTTTCTCGCGAGGCCCCGCGCGATAGAGCGCGGCGAGCAGATCATCCCGGGGAGTGCAGCAAGGACATGCCTCCCGAATTACACCGCTTTTCCTCCATCGCTGGTTCCGTAACCGCCGCTCGTAAAGTTGTTGACGTGTCCGGGCCTGCGGTTGGCGGAGATATGACCCCCAATGCGGAGACTGACGAGTCGCGCAGGAAAAAGAAGCAGCGGCAGCAGGATCAGCAGCTGCTGCAGCAGCAAGGGGAGGAGAACCCGAGTGCTGTGAAGAAGCGAAAGGAGATCGACGAAGGCGGTAACGACATTGGTAGCGATGACGGCAATGATTGCAATTCGGATAAGCACCGTCGAAAGAAGAAGCAGCTCCAGACACCGCACATCAAAAGCCCTAATAGTGCCCCGCCCAAAGCCGCTAAGAGTGCACTCAAGTCCAAAAGCTCTGCGCTGAAGACAAAGAGCGTGCAGCAGCACCTTCCGTCGTCGACTAAACCCTTATCCGTCCGACCTATAGGTTCCCCTTCTGCCGCTCTCGATGATTCTCCTACAGCAGCCGAGGCGCAGTCAAATCCCGGGCTAGTCTCCGTTTCGCGATCGCTTTCCCCGTCCCCGTCCCCATCCGTACTCGTCGCGACGCCGTCCGACATGCAAATCGTGTCGCAGTTACCCGCTAAATCACTCGGGCAAGCCACTGACGTGACTGCTCAGGGCCCATCCCCGCCGGCTCCCGGATCCGGCCACGTGGCCCCTCCACGTGGGCGCGCATCGTTGGAGGTGCACAAGTGTCAGGCGATTGATTGGCGGCCGTCGGCGGTAACGGCGCTAGCGGCTAGTTGCGACAGTGCGGTAGTGGCTGCGGCGAGGGAGAACGGGGATATCGAGATCTGGCGAGTCGCGGCTGGCGCCGTCGGATGGGCTTGCGAACTGGTGAGGGGGTTTCGCACAGAGCATTGGTTAACACGTAACAGATGGTTACTTAGAGGAAAATCACAAGGTGACGGAATGGGGCCTTACAGATGGCGGGGGTTAAGGGTGGTGGGCTTGAACGGTGCGGGAGCAGGGATGTGTGAAGTGGAAGGCAAGCTTAGCAGAAGGAAGGGTTTAAGAGCGGTACAGGCGCGAGTGGCCGGGGTGTGCGCAGTTCTCGGACAGGAAGAGTTTAGCAGGGTTTTAGAGGGAAATTTAAACGCAACTTAACGAGGGATTCGTAGTGGAGCGAGCGGGCTGAGCGAGGGTTGGGGGCGGGAGGTGTGTGTGCGTGTGTGTGTTAAGGGGGGAAGCTGGGGTTTTGCGTGTTGCAAGGTGAGCGATACGCGCCCGATTGGCACTAGGGTTCGTGCTGTCGAACACGCTTTAAGCGCGGCTTGTGTTTACCTTCTTTCCGCAGCGCTGCTTAACTCACTGCTCAATTCTCTCCTTTTACCCCTCTTGTAATTTCTTTCCTCCCCCACACCCGCTCCCCCGTCTCTCTCCTCCGTCCTTTTTCTGCTTTCCTCCCCTCTCCCCTTCCCTTCCCGCAGCGCATCCCCGGCCGTCGCGACGCCGCCATTTCGTCGCTCGTGTGGTGCTCCCCGCCTTCGTACCTGCCGTCGCCTGCGGCCGGCACGCTGCCGACGGGGCTGGCGGCGCGCGGGCGGCTGTTCTCCGCGAGTCTGGACGGCACGATCACGGAGTGGAACCTCGCCTCTCTCGCGCCGCAGGTGGGTGGGTCGGTCAGTCGTCTAACCGTCTTACGCGCTAGGCTCTAGGGGACTCTGCTGTACCGTGTTCCCTGACGTGCCGTCACGTGCTTGTATCGCTTTTGAGGCTTCTCAATACTGATGTGCGCGGAGCTTTAGGAGATCGCTGTAACTGCCAGCTTAATCCCAACCGTCCGTTTGCCATTTCGCGGCGCCTTGCCATCATCGTTCCGCGCGCGCGCGCGCGCTCTTTCTCTCGCGACGTCTCGTTCGTGTACCGATCGGATCGGACCTTCAGTGCAAGCTACTGAAGGTAGGTAGAGAAAGCGGCGGTTGCAACGTGAGAAGGGAAAGATGGTAACACATGTAAAACACTGAGTAGTTATTGCCGGGGAACAATGCCCGATGCTGATCTTCCTTTCTTTCCTTCCTCCTCCCCCTTCCCTCTCTCTTCCCCTCCTCCTCTCTCTCTCTCTCTCTCTCTCTCTCTCTCTCTCTCTCTCTCTCTCTCTCTCTCGCTCGCTCTCTCTCTCTCTCTCTCGCTCGCTCTTTCACTCTATCACTTCCCCCCCCACCCCCGTTTCCCCGTCTCCCCTCTCCCCTCCCTCCCCTCTCTCCCCTCCCTCCCCTCCTTCCCTCCCTCCCTTCCTCCCTCTCTCCCCACACTGCTCAATGTGCTTCCGCCTCTCGCCACCTCTGCCCTTGGTCTCCCCTCTCGCCACCTCTGCCCTTGGTCTCCCCTCTCGCCACCACTGCCCTTGGTCTCCCCTCTCGCCACCTCTGCCCTTGGTCTCCCCTCTCGCCACCTCTGCCCTTGGTCTCCCCTCTCGCCACCACTGCCCTTGGTCTCCCCTCTCGCCACCACTGCCCTTGGTCTCCCCTCTCGCCACCACTGCCCTTGGTCTCCCCTCTCGCCACCTCTGCCCTTGGTCTCCCCTCTCGCTCAACTCCCTTCCCGTTTTGTGTTTTTCCCCCTCGTCCCCACCCCTCACACTCCCTTCCCGCGCGTACCCTCTCCCCGCGCGCTGCAATCCCCCGTCCCGCGGCTTCCGCGCGCCAGTCCCCGACGGACTCGATGGGCGGGCCCGTGTGGGCCATGGCGGTGGAGCCGGCGCGCGAGCGGGGAGGGGGTGGGGGATCCGAAGGCAAGGCGAAGGGGAAGGTGAAAAAAGCGGCGGACGAGGAGGAGGAGGATGAGGAGGAGGATGAGGGCGGAGAGGGCGCGGGGGGCAGTGCGGGAGAGGGGGAAGAGTACGTGGCGGTGGGGTGTGACGACGGCGCGCTGCGGCTGTTCGTGCCGTCCGACCGGGGCGCGGGCATGGAGTACCGCAAGTCGTTCCCGCGCGGACAGGGTGAGCGGGGCAAGGGCAGCCGGGCGCGGGGGGCGGGGGCAAGAGGGACAGTGGGAGGGGGGAGTGGGAGGGTAATGTGCGAGGGAGGGACAGGAGACGGGGGGTGTTGTGGTATGGATGGATGACCGGTGGGACCATGCACGTTGCAGGCTTGCAGTCACAAAGTGAGGGGTCCATCTACGGTTTAGTTCCACGTGCCGTGCCGTGCCGTGCGTGGTGGCCCGTCGTACGTTGCATTGCCCTCGTTCGACTCATCACGCCCTTCCTTGTTCTCACACGCCGCTCTGTCTTTCACCCTCCATGTGCCCCGCTGCCCCGCTGCCCCTCTCCCCCCTCCCCTCTCCCCGCTCTCCGCGTTGGCAGCCAAGATCCTGTGCGTGGCGTGGGCGTGCTCCGGTACTCGCCGCGTCTTCACTGGCGGCTCAGACAGGTGCGCGCGCCCTCCCTCCCTCCCTCCCTCCCTCCCTCCCGCCCTCCCTCCCTCCCTCCTTGCTCCGCGCCCTGATGCCCTTCCTGCTCCTTGCTTTGGTTCGTGCAGTCGTCTCTCGTTTCCGCAACCTGGACCCTGTAGCGTGAGTCTAGACACGTCTCTCAGCGCTCTCTTTTCACCCTACAGTCAAGCGAGCCCGCCCACCCCTTACACTGCCCGTCCCCACTCTCCCCCCACTGCCCTGTCCTCACCGCAGCATGGTGCGGTGCTGGGACGTGGCGGCGGGCAGAGAGCTGTACCGTATCCCCGTCGCCACGGGCATGGACAGCATCCGATGCCCCACTCCCTTCACTTCCGGCCCTCCCCTTTCTCACCTTCCTCCCCTCCCTCCTTCCCTCCCTCCCCTGTCCTGTCCTCACCGCAGCATGGTGCGGTGCTGGGACGTGGCGGCGGGCAGAGAGCTGTACCGTATCCCCGTGGCCACGGGCATGGACAGCATCCGATGCCCCACTCCCTTCACTCCCCGCCCTCCCCTTTCTCACCTTCCTCCCTCCCTCCTTCCCTCCCTCCCCTGTCCTGTCCGTACCGCAGCATGGTGCGGTGCTGGGACGTGGCGGCGGGCAGGGAGCTGTACCGCATCCCCGTGGCCACGGGCATGGGCAGCATCCGATGCTCAGCATCCTATGCCCCATCTCACTCCCCTCTCTCCCCTCCCCTGTCCCCCTGCTCTCCCTCCGCAGCATGGTGCGGTGCTGGGACGTGGCGGCGAGCAGGGAGCTGTACCGTATCCCTGTGGCCACGGGCATGGACAGCATCCGCAACCTCTGCGTCTGGTCGCTGCTCGCTCTCAGGTGCGCTCCTGTTCTCCCCCCCCCCAATTCCCCCACCCTTTTTCCCTTCCCGCCCCCCACCCCACGTCCACCCCACTCCCCTCCCCGCCCCATCTTCCCCACCTCTCGCTGCCCCTGCCCAGGTGTTCCCCCCCCCACCTCTCTCGCCCCCCTCCCCCCTCGCTGCTCGCGTTCCTTGCGCCCTTGCTGTCCGCTGCTTGCGCGCGTCTGCTGTGGGCTTCCGTAACGCACGCTGCTGTTGTTGTTGTTCAGAACCTATCTCTCTTACCCTTCCTTTCCCACCCTTCCCCCTCTGCCGTGTCCCCCTCTCCTCCCCTCGTACGTCTTTCCTTTACTAACTCCCCTCTCCCCCCCTCAGCGACGGCACGTTGGTAACAGGGGATTCGTCCGGGCACGTGCGCATGTGGGACGGCGCGCTGGGCACGTACCTGTCGTCCGTGCGCGCGCACAAGGCGGACGTGCTCGCGCTCGCCTCCTCGCTCCCTGCTCTCTACTCCGCGCTCGCTTGCTTTCTCTCAACCCGTTGCTCCACCTCCCGTTTGTCTCCCTCTTCCCCTCCCTCCCCCTTCCCCCTGCCTGCCCCGCCTCCTTCCCCCCTGTAACGCACCCCTCCCCCTCTCTTCCCCCACCAGCGACGGCACGTTGGTGACAGGGGACTCGTCCGGGCACGTGCGCATGTGGGACGGCGCGCTGGGCACGTACCTGTCGTCCGTGCGCGCGCACAAGGCGGACGTGCTCGCGCTCGCCGCCATGCCCAACGACTCCAACCACGTCTTCTCCGCCGGCGCGGACGGCATGGTGAGTAAAGAGAGAAAGAGGGCGGGGGGGGGGGGGATTTGGGGGAAAGGGGGAGAGGGGAGCTTGGGGGGAGAGAGAATGGTTGATTTTGAGAATTCTCAAAACCAACCTCAAACAAAAGAGAGAATGGTGCTCGCGCTCGCCGCCATGCCCAACGACTCCAACCACGTCTTCTCCGCGGGCGCTGATGGCATGGTGAGAAAAGAGAGAAAGAGGGCGGGGATTGGGGGAAGGGGTCCGCGGGCGCCGACTGCATGGTGTGGGGAGAGGAATGGGTGGGGGGATGGGGTGGGTAGGGTGTGTGTGTGTGTGGGTGGGTGGGTGGGTGGGGTGCGTTGGAGCGAGGGAAGTGAAGGTGCATACGTTAACAGTCTCGCATACGTTAGAAGCGTGTCAACAGTCTTGCGTTTCACTCGCCAAACACGTCTCATCTCATCCTCCCAACCTCCCTCCCTTCCCCGTTCCTCCTCCCCCCCCTTCTCCCCCTCCCCTTTCTTCCGCCCCTTCCCCCAACAGGTGGCGCAATACCGCTTTGTGGCCAACTCCGCGGCGGGGCTAGAGGCGTGCAGCAAGAGGGGCGCGGGGGGGAGCGCGGGGAAAGGTGTCCCCGCGCAGGGGGGGGCGAGCGCGGACGGCAAGTGGATGCTGCTTGGCGCCCACCGGTCGCATACAGCGGATGTCAGGGCGTTGGCGGTGGCGCTGGTGCCTGAGGAGGGGGAGGAGGAGGGGGTGGAGGGGGAGGAAGCGGAGGAAGGGGCGGAGGGTGTGAGGAGAGGGGGAGAGGGCGAGGAGGAAGAGCACGTGGTTCACTGGCGGGAGGTGTTGGGTGAGTTGTTTGTGTGTTTTTTTTTTTTTTGGTTCTCCTCAACTAAGGAAAAAGAGCGAACGAATGAATATAATTGATGGGGATTTTGGGAAACGGGGGTATGAGGATCGTGTCCCTGGGAAGGGGAGAAAGCTGGGGGTTTAGGGTTTAACAGGAGGTCTACGAAGGGGTTTAAGAAGGGCTAGTGGTTCTTATGTTTCTGGTTCCCTGGTTACCCCTCAAGCGGGGGAATGCCAGCATAGCAGCGCCTCAAAGGTACTTCCCTTTCCCCCCACCTCTGCCTCCCGCGGTGACTTTTGAGTCGACTCAAAAGTCACCTGGTTCCCTGGTTACCCCTCAAGCGAGGAATGCCTTCATTGCAGCGCCTCAAAGGTACTTCCCTTCCCCCCCACCTCTGCCTTCCCCCACCCCTTTCCTGCTCCCCGTGTGTCTCCCCGTGTGTCCTTTTAGAATCCAAGCTTAAGCTAGAGATGACAGCAGAGCAGCGCCAGCAGCTAGAAACTGATGTTGCAGGGTTTTTTTTTTAGAATTCTAACTTAATCCATGTTTCCCCTTCTCTCGTCTCTTCATCTGTCCTCTCAGAATCCAAACTCAAGCCAGAGATGACAGCAGAGCAGCGCCAGCAGCTAGAAGCCAAGGTCAAGGCGGCGTGGCTGACAGCAGCCTTAAAACGTCTCTTTTCGCCCCTTCCCCTCCTTCCCCGTGTCTCCCTATCTGTCCTCCCAGAATCCAAACTCAAGCCAGAGATGACAGCAGAGCAGCGCCAGCAGCTAGAAGCCAAGGTCAAGGCGGCGTGGCGGCGGCGCAAGGAG